TACCTTCTTTTAGGTGATTTATATCATATATGATGATATAATAAAACATATTTTTTTATCTCTCTCTCTCTTTCTCTGTCTCTCTCTTTACAATTGCACTAGAGATAAATTATTCGTTATTGCTAAAACTGGGCATTAGGTTAGATTTGTGGATATAGCTATCCCTGCGTTATCCAACTGCAAGCGTAGAATTCAATTTGGGATATAACATACTACAATGGATATGACTTTGCGCTGCTGTTACCTTCCAAGTAATTTCAACTTTCCTCGTATAAATTCTCAGCAGGAGTTGAACGCCTTTACCTTTTGTTGTTTGATTTTAACTGGTAATACTCGACCGGATATATTTTCGTCGAAAAACTTTGTTGAAGGCGCGACCTTCGTAATGACGGAGAATCATTCGGGATTCGAGTTTACTTGCGCACTCTTATCGTGCCGCACTATTCCGTGTCGTTCTCCTTAAAAATGTGGATCTATTTTTCCCGATGGTCCTATAACCTCGCACGAGAAAAGCGCCCTTATCCATCGCTTATGATGGGGAATCCTCGGGTATCAGGATTCCTTAGATTCGGAGGATACTCTCCAAGGGTGCCAAATGTAGCGTAACTTACAAGGGATATCGCGAGGCATCCAATTTTTCCGCTTTACGATTTCTGAGATCGGGATTACTTTTGAATGTTGCGCGAGTATCATATTATCGCGGCTTACAAAATGTCACGGATTTGCGATATTGTCATGTTATTAGTTTCTGACAATAATCGAAAAATTAAAAAAAAAAAATTATTGTTGAGATTAATAATAATGAACAATATTTCTTGAGAATGTTGACAGTATATTCATCAAATTAAATACGAAAGAAAATATGAGGCTATTTGTATAGAATGCGTTAACGTTGGATGTTGTAACATAATCACAAGACAAACGATTCTTGAAAGGTAAGAAGGATGCTCACACAGAAGCCGCAATTAGCTTCACGAAACTTTCATTTATCTTTCTCTGCGAGACGCTGAAACAGATATTTTGCAATGCTGCCCTTGGCAGAAGTTTTTCTTTAATAATATAATTACGCTCGGGAAACTAAATTAGATTGCAGATCTCATTTTGTATTTTCTGATAGCCTTGCAAGTTCTTAAGATGTTTTTCTTGCATTGTACTGCGGTACGTAAAAGGGGTGAGATGAAAGCTTGGAGATATTACAGATCAATAAGTTCCATTATAACGTACTCTTTTTTTTTTTTAGAAACTTTGAGAAACAGATTATATCAGTTCGAGCTTCTATTAATTATTAATAGATATTTTAACTTTTAAAGTCGTAATAATCTATTGTATTCAAACCTTAATCGTGCGATGAATCCCTTTATCTGTATCAACTTGAATCTATACTCTTCTAAAATCTCACATTGCAATTAATCGCAACTTATGAAAGCTCGTCATGAACGAAATAGTAACTTACAAAGTCGTCGATTCTTCTCGCAACGCATTCGTCATTTTCTGAAGCTTGGTGCGCCTTCTCTTCACACAATATTTGACTTTCACTTACTTCACGCACGTCTATTTCTTCAATTTCCGCGAACGAAGACAAGTCAAGATTCCTGCAGGCGAGATGCCTACGGCGAAGAGACTTGCAAATAGAATTCTACACATCCGGGATGCGGGCTTCGGCGATGCAGTATGAAACGTGACGCGTTTGATCGAGCGCAACGCCTCGCGGGGTTTAGGCGATTGGGATGACAACGGGATGGGAGAGGTAGGTTGTAAGGGGGTGATCGCCGAATGTGCTGAACGCGCGAAGGAGCCGCTTCTCATTCGATATCCGTGGCTGATTTCGAGCTACCCATCCCAAGTGCCGTCCAACAATGGGGTCTCTTTTGTCGATGGGAAAGAGGATATCGCTGTTGAACGTCAATCGACTGGAAACGATCGATGCGTTTACTGGCTTAAGCGATTTCCCACTTTGTTCGAGCCTTGCCGTGCGCGATTTATATTCGCGGCCGCGCGTTCGCGATATTAATACGATTGTAACGATATTGCTATGATTTACTTTCAAGCTGCGCGAGCAGTATAAATATGCATTGATGAGCAAATCCCCTTCCTTTTCTCCGCATTCAGAATAATAGAATAGTTCATTGTATTAAATTGAATATTGATATAATATTTAACGTTTTAGACGGGGGGAGATTTTAGATTCTTCTTTAATCGATTAATGTGTCGTTATAAATCAATAATTTTCAACGTGCGGATTTAACGTGTCAGAGATTTTTTTACTCACAATCAGTCGAAATAATCTCACACTGATAAATTATATGCGAGTACGAGGGGTTGATGTTTCGGTCATTATAATTTTTAAATAAGTTACATTAATTATATCAAGTTATATATTAATGCCGTACCTTAACGTTGCTCATAACGGAGGATTAAAAGTGGCTTATAGTAAAGAAGATTAAGAAGTGTGTTATTGCTACAAGAGTTATGCGCGATAATAATGACAAATTGCAAGTAGAATTTTCTCCGCGCGGAAGTTTTATTACTGCGAAATTTATCACCGACAATGTTGGAAATTAAAAACGCAGCGCTTCGTATTTAAAAGTGAAAATTTCACCAGCTTTGTTATTAAAAATTAATACTGAAACAAACTAAAGCGGAGAGAAATGCAAATGCAAATAACGTTGATTCAGTTCGCGAGTCTCTTTCGCTTTTAGCCTGGAAAAATTTATCTAACGCATGGTTAAGGCACATTAGATAAATGCGATCAACGATAACGTTGAGAAGCATGTGTTATGCTGATGGAGCATTATTTCAGGGACTATGTATGAAAATCAATAAATTCTCATCGCTATTCTATACACTTTCACATTAATCACTTTCTTCAAGTTATTTATGTTCTAATCTAAAAGCGTATAAAATTATGGCGATATTTTGAATTTTTGTATTGAAATTTCGAATAACATTCATTTACAATGAAGATTGCACGGTATATTTGAAACCTCTTATTTATCTGCTGACATCAGCTGTCAGATATACTCGTAGATTTTATTTAATAACACAGACTTGGAGATTGACTTGCTTAGAAATGACATATAACAGGAATAGAATGAACATTAATATTTGAACGATTGTCTGCACAAAAATCATATTTTCTGAGGTAAATATTCTGGATTTATCACATTAAATCTCCATTTAAACTGTTTTCTACATTGAATGACATAATATAATATGTCGCTCTTTTCATGAATTTATTATAGTTAGATAATAGCCGCTTGAGACATAAAAGCATTATAAAGATCTTCATTATTTTAATTTATAATGCCCAATATATAAATTTGTAGCTACATATCGTGTGACAGCCTTGTTATAATTCATAATTATAAAGTTATAATTATAAAGCTATAAGAGTTGTGTGTAATTGAAAATAAATTTACACAGAAATTTTTGCAATTACCTACACGAAATTCAATGAGAGAGAGAAAGACATATGACATAATATCGTTCGTTATTATTTATTGAAAATTTGTTAAGCGTTTGCTTTTTATATAAACATGACCTATATACAAAAATGGAAAATAATATTCAGTACTCATTGTACGTCGCTGCTTGACATTTTGTTATTAACGTGGAGCGAATTTCATTCTATCCTGTAATTTCCGAGAGCGAGGGAGAGAGAGAAAGAGAGAGTTTGGAAACATATAATATATATATATATATATATATATATATAACATATTTCAATAATCTTCTTTTCATGTATCTACAATCGAATTGCAACTGCTTCGATCTGCACAAAGAAAAGTTCGACTACTTTCTTCTCTTCTCTATTGGATTTATCATCGTTTGCGATTCTAGTATTTAACTATATGTTATTCATTTATGATTTTATTTTATTAATCACTCTTCGTATATTAAACCGTTATCTATATATATACCTTCTGTCTTATTTGCAATGTTATAGAGATAACATGTATATAGATATGTTAAACTTTATGTTTGATCTGACACAAGCGCATCTCTAACCCGACATGGAAACTGATTATGAAGGGATTTCATCCATGAGTAGATATTCGCTTCGATACACCAGGAAGGATATATCGGAAATTTGACAAATAGTATTCTCGTGAGCGGTGAATGTTTGCTGGCAGCTGTTAATTGAAATTATTCACAGATGGTCGTTACAATAATGGCCGTTATCGAATGACACTTCTCGTAATCGCATCATTAGCACGATGCAATGTACTTATTCTCTGTTATAGCATATAATGTGTTAATTGCAAACAAATACTTCAAATTAATTTGCGATAATGATCTCGTGAATGAAACACGTGTAACCATACCAAAGCTAATTATATCCATTGTGAATCACAAACATGAATATACGTATTAAACATAGCAGTAGGCGATAAAATTGCAAATAGAGCTTAACGTAAACATTGAATAAATGAATGTACGATTGCGTGGGATTTGACGAGAATACGTTAATAAATAAAAACGCGAGCTCTCGCGAATATCCGAAGAAAGGCGCATGGAAACTTTTATTTACTGTATCCATAAACCGCGACGGATTTGCTGTGTGTTTAACCGAGTCCGGAAGTCGCAATCCTGCATCTCTGGAATTCATTTTGTGGTAAGCTTCGGGCGAGTATACATCTCATGGGCGTTCAGTCCGCAAACATTCCCCTGCCTTAATCGTATTACCGTATTTTCCTGACATATCTTCTAGTATTATACATATCGGTTCCACGTAATCATTCCCCTCGTTGCGGTCTACAGATCAAGAACTTGATTCGGTTTCACTAAACTGATACAAACGTTTGCTCTGCAAACAATTGCGCAATCTACTATCAAAGCTAATTTTATTAGCGGATCATGAGCAGAAACGATATATTTTGCTTTGTCAGCATAACATTCGTGCATTGAAATATATTTTTAATAATAATATATAGTGTTTTTTTACCTGAATAACACAATCGTTAATAGTTAATTAAATGATTGTTCTTATTGTGTTATAGGTGTAAGGAGTCTGGTAGATATTTGAAGGACCTTCCGCCTACAGCGGTAATAATTTGCTTTCACAATGAAGCTTGGTCCGTGTTATTGCGTACGGTGCATTCCGTTCTGGACAGATCGCCGGAGCATCTCATACAAGAGATCATTCTCGTCGATGATTTCTCCGATATGCGTAAGTTGTTCTTTTAATTAGTAAAACTATAGAAGATGTAACAAACTATCACATTTTAATTTTTTTAAATAATATAGTTAAAATCATTATAATTATCGCTATTTTTTCCATGTATTATTAATTTTATTTTAAAATATCTTTAAAAATTATAAAGAAAACACATAATTTATAAACATGAATATTTATATTAAGAAAAATTGAAATATCAATTACACCTATAATTATGCGTTATATTAAACGTGAATTATATACATTACGGAGCCTATAATATGCGAATATTATAATATTAAAATATTTCTTTTGCGTATAACGAATAGTGAACGCGAGTTATTCTCGCGTTATCACCAGGAACCGTGCTCGTACTTTGGATTCAAAACGAAATACCTTCTATGCGCGATCGAAGCGGAATTGCATATCGGCTCCGTAGCGTCATAAATCCTCGTATAGCTCACATCGTTGAAAGATGAAAAATCCTCGGTAGAACGTCGGGAAATTCGTAAGCACAGAGCGAACAGAGACCGCGGGCTATTATATTCGCGTACTTGCTCGTGCAACCGCGTCTCCATTCAGCACGGTGATTCGTTATCGCGACAGTGTTTCGTAGTTTCGGGATAGATCGATTAATTGCGATCCATCTCTCCACTGTATTGCCACGACGTGAATAGAAGAGAAACTCTCGACCTGCTATACAGACTCTCTGAAAATTACGAGAGAGCTTCATACAATCTCTGCAACCGACTCTCTCTAGATTTAATGTCCCCGTTTGTTCGAGTTGGCCAAAATCGAGCGTGGACACGCGCCGCTACATTATATTGAAAATTTACAAAGTTTGATAAATGCTTAGGAAGAAACTTTTTAAGTTATTGCGATATTTTTAATGAGATAAGAGAACACGTTGTTAATTTTAGAAGACAGAAAATTGTATATACATTTCGTCGAAAGAAATTTTGAAGTTTTTATTTATTTGTAAAGTTACGTTTGTGATGATTTATTGTATATTTTGCATTTATCTATCGGACATGTTTTTATCTAAAGGCATTTACGCGAAAAAAGTTAATGAAAGTATATCAAATACGCAATTTTGCGAATTCGGACAAAGCAAATATGTATGTTCAAACACGCGCATTGTTTGTATGCAAAAAGGCAATTATAGCTTCAATGTACCTGCATATTTTCGAATAAACTGACGTTTATACAACAGCCGCTAAATCGAAATCTAAATTACAAATTTTACAATAAATTGCGATAAAACAGAAATCATTATTAGCAAAAAAAAATTTACATTTTTTAATAGATAATCATATAACAGAGTTTGAGCTATTTATTTATAATGTTATATACATATACAAACACATCTTATTTAACGATAATATTTTTCTTTCGAAAAATTAAAAAAACGTATCTTATTTTACAATTTAATTGCTGCATTAAAAAGGCGAAAAAGGCAATTGCAATTGCGCGAGATTCTACTGTATATAAAAGTAGATGAGCATAAAAATCCTAAGAGAAAAGGTGTCCGAGATTAAGCAGATTTAGGAAAACGCGACGTGATGGAAATAGCCAGGGTGGTTACTGGCAATCCCTATTAAAAGCTGGAGATAAACCCCCGGCCAGAAGTTAAACCTATAAACACAGTCATTTTAGCGATCCCCTGGCTTGGTGTGTATTATTAACAGACAACTGCGATTGCTTTATCGCAAAAATGAGATCAAAATACTATACTTTGTATGCACTTTTTTTCATGGTGCGAACGGAATAAAAGGGGATTCATGCATGATTTTAATTTAAGATTACGTCCTTCGTATTACGAGAAATTTAACATATATCTATAATTACTTTTTCGTCATCAACGCTTTTTACTATCGTATATTTCTTTTTAACGATATATGGACTGTACACTACACACACAGTATGTCTTTGAATATTATTTCGAAAAAATATATTCTCTTCGGTCGCAGAGGGCGGATTAAAGTGAGTTTAATGATTAATAATGCCTGTAAGAAAGATGTAATAAATTTTAAAGGGGAAGGTTTTAGTCCACTTCAGCAAAACGCATGCACGATAATTAGCTTTTATACAAGGGATCGGCGACGAGAATTACGGAGTTAATTATGAGCGCACTCGACGAGGACAGACCGGGGATGCTCTTTGAGCGTTTCCATTATCTACGCCTCACAATGTGCTCGGTAAAGTCATAATGAAATTTGCAATAACAGCCACGGTCGGTTTATGCGTGCCTCTGTATTCGAGGAATTCATTAGAAGTTAATTCGGATTGGAATGCGCGCGGAATCCGTACACATACACCGTAGTTGCGTGCACATTAAATGTCTGACCTCCGATCTTTTACGGTTCATCTCTTCTCGTTCGAGTACAGTTAAGCGCGCCTCGTTCAACATACTTCGACGTATTTTCAGAGAAATATTTTCTCGTCTCATACCGATGCGATCCGTACAACGACTCCTGTATTTTTTCTATTTCAGCAGACAGAGAGGAAATTTTTTCGCGAGTTGATGCGAAATCCCGAGGTAGAGATAACGGGGTAGAAGCATGAGTACGATGACTTTGTATTAAAGCTCATCAAGCGTGCAATTTATTCAAAAGGTGCATGAAATCGAGCCGACATCTCTATCATTTCCAAGTATACGTTTTGCTAGATAATCATTGCGCCTGCACGAAACATGCTGATCCGTAGAATCCCCTTATAGTATCCATAGTTAACCGAGCTTACAGGATAGGGATTTAGGATTAGTGGCCCGGTCCCTCATAAAGCCAATCTAACGGAGAATAAATCACGAATGTCTGCTAATTGCTGCCCGGCGACCGACGTAACTATAGGCGAATACGTCTCATAAATCTTAAGTCTCGCCTACGATTGCCGGAAATAACGCTAAATAACAGACCACTTCGTGAAATATCCACTAAAGTGACATTAGTAGACAAAGCCTTTTAGTCATGATTTCTATCGATACGAAAACATTTCTTTTCTGCTAGGATTTATGGGTTCTAATTAAACGAAGATTAAAAATATGACGAAGAAAGTGGTCCTTGTAATTTTCTTCTAATCAAACAGTAGATACTTATATTCATTATTAACTTGTTGAATTTATTATTCATCTGATAAATACAAATTTTTGAATATAAATTTTTTACGAACTACATCTCTTTTGTATCAGATCGTTGTTTAAGATACCTTAACGATAAACTGGAAATTAATTTGCTTATATAATTTTTATTGGATTTATAAACTACGATCGCGTAGTTACTTTTTTATCAGATTGACAATAAAATATTAATGGCTCGGATAAATATAGGGAAAACGCCATTATACGGGATTATCGTTGTTTCTAGCATACGATTAAATCGATCGTGTTTAAAGTATGAATGTAGGATGGTAAGGGTGATTGTTGTTGCCGCAACGGCTTGCGAATGACATCGTAAATAAACCGTAATCCGACATTAAGGATGTAATCGACGTTAGAGAAACTTAAAGAAACGGGCAACTTGGTTTCATTGTTGCAATATCCACCGCCGAAGCATAGATACTGCGGGTAACTTATGTATCAAATCGGCGGAAATTTAAAAAACGATGATATTGAAAAAACCTGTGGGGCTTTTCCGTAAAATTAATATTTGAGTGAATCTTATGCACGATAGATTCCGTCAATAATGCTATCTCGCATATTATGAGAGATATCATAAATTATACAGCCGCTTAATAATGAAAATGTCGGTATTTTTTATAAAAACTGTATAAAATATTTTAGTAAAGATATAGAGAGGACAATGTGCGTAAACAATATTAAATTTGATGAATTTACGTATATGACGACAGAGAATACGCGCAATAACGCGTAGAAAGGTATAAATATAGGAAATTAAATTGGTAAAAGAGTGAAAAAAATATTTTAATTAAATATATTAATAACATTATAAATACGCGCGCAATTTTTTATTATCGCGACATATTATATTTCGCACGAAAATGACGAGTGACGAGAAACCGATTGTTCCGCAGCTCATCTCAAACGTCAATTGGAAGACTATATGATGAATTATCCGAAGGTGAGGATTATCAGAGCGAATAAACGAGAGGGCCTTATCAGGGCACGTTTGCTAGGCGCCGCGGCGGCTAAGGCGCCGGTACTCACGTATTTGGATAGCCATTGCGAGTGCACGGAGGGTTGGTTGGAACCTCTTCTGGATAGGATCGCACGCGATCCGACAACGGTAGTTTGTCCGGTGATCGATGTTATAGACGACACCACCCTAGAATACCACTGGCGCGACTCGGGCGGCGTAAATGTCGGCGGATTCGATTGGAATCTTCAGGTAAACGAAATCTTCGTGCTACTTTCGCGAGCTCGAGCCGATAGAGAATGCATCTGTCTTGACGGCATGCAATTGAATTTGCTCGGAATCGTAAAAATTCCAAGATATGGTGTAAATTGCATTTCATTATAAAGAAAATATTTTATATAGACATAGATCTTCTTATAAAAGACAAGAAATAATTTTAAAAAACGCGTTTGTTTTGCAAAAAAATAATCTACGTTATGTGACATATTTTTAACATTCTTATTTTATAATATTATTTTAACGTATGGCAATTTTTTAAAATTGCCGAAGTTTCATAAGCCCATCTGCGTAAACGAATTCTTGATGTATATTAATGTTTGTTAACAAGTTCAATTGGCACGCGGTGCCAGAGAGGGAGAAAAAAAGACACAAAAATCCGGCCGAACCCGTTTGGTCGCCAACGATGGCTGGTGGCCTCTTTTCGATAGATCGAGCCTTTTTCGAACGGATTGGCACGTACGACAGTGGCTTCGACATCTGGGGCGGCGAAAATCTTGAATTATCGTTTAAAACCTGGATGTGTGGAGGTAAAGGATAAGTAATATTTAATAGAAATCTCATGTTTCTTCCCAACTTAGAAAACTGCAGTTTTAAATTAGCGTATCTGACACAAGAATAATAATTAACAAGTATTGCATCCAATATAAAAAAATTTTTATAAAATACTTTTTATTATTACTTTTAATGTCAGAATTATTTCTTTTACATATTATATTTTTATTATTATCTAATTTATAATAACCGCGCACGGTTTTGTAGAAATATTTCATATTCTACATCTTTATGCGATTCTTGGTATTAACGATCGACGCAACTAACTTAACAAACAGCCGAAAATGTTGATCTAATAACTCGATACGCTCGTAGGTACTTTGGAAATCGTGCCGTGCTCGCACGTGGGTCACATCTTCAGGAAACGTTCGCCCTACAAGTGGCGCAGCGGCGTGAACGTGCTCAAGAGGAACAGCATAAGGCTGAGCGAAGTGTGGTTGGACGAGTACGCCAAGTACTACTATCAGAGGATAGGTCACGACAAGGTGGGTACTTGTGCATCGTCGCATGCATAACCTTCCTTCCATATATGACTTTTCGCTACGTGAGAATGCAACGAGGGGACAATTAGAATAGCTCGTTTCACCTTAGCTGGCAGATCAATACAAGAGTCGGAAGCTAAGACAGGGGAAGAGCTTTTTGCAGACTACAAATTGGAATAAAAATGTAGTCTTCAAATGAAAATATTCGCACAAATAAACAGAAAAAAATCTGTTTCGTATAGAAAGATGTAGGAACGATATCACAAAGAAAAACCTACACATATTTGGGGATATATATATATATATATATAATTATGGTATATAAGTTACCGCGAAAAAGAAACAAATAATTAATCATAATTTATTTTCCGCTATAAAATTAAAGATTTTGTTCCAAATTGTAGTATATTAATAAAGCATCGTGGCTATGTTTTTTTAAATCCAAGTTGCTCGTAAACATTGACCGAGCAGTTTGGTAAGAATAGGATGAAGGATGATAAAGGTGGCCGATGATGGAGAGGATCGTAGACCAAGAATCGTCGTAAAAAAGGGCCATAAACGTACCAAGTGCTTTTAAGACTCGCGCGCATATCCTCGCTCTCTTGAAGGACATTTCTTTCGTTCCCCACTATAACGATCTGTCATTTATCCTTGATGCTTGTCCGCTCTTACTCTCCTGTCGAGATCCAATCGACGAGATAAATCGAAGCGTAGAGAATAAATCGCTTCCGTAAGCACGCCGCTCTATGTAATGATCGAATCTATCGAGGATGTCGTCTTCATGGATGGCTTCATAAAATAATGATATAAATCGTTCTTTGCTTACATGCCGCTATTCCTATTTGCAAGTAATAATTTACAGTAGTAATGTCAACAATTGAGTTAGAGACACAAATTCACAAATAGCTCAATGTTAATAATGGCATTTTATTATTAAAAAAAATTTAATTATTATTGTGTGAAGAAAAAGACAGACAGATAGTACTTTATATATATATATATAATATATATATATATATATATATATATATATATATATATATATATATATATATATATATATATATATATATATATATATATATATATATATATTAATCAAATTCTTTATTTTATAATTTAATTTAAAATATGGCAGATTCTTAGCGAATATCTCTAAAAATCTTATAAGTTGTAATTTGACTTTATTTATATCCATTTTCACAATTATTACTATAAAAAATAATTTTTAACAATTTTTTTCACAATAATTATTATAAAAAATGCATATAACTATTTTTATTATTATTATTACGTATTTATAAATATCTCGCATTTTTTCACAAGTTTATCTTTGTCATCTTTGTTGAATTGTAAGCATAATCCTGATCTGGTTGCATATTGAATTTTCGTAGGGAAATTACGGTGACGTATCGGAGCGAAAGACCCTTAGGAAGAAACTGGGATGTAAGTCGTTCAAGTGGTACCTGGACAATATTTATCCAGAACTCTTCATTCCGGGCGAGGCGGTCGCTTCAGGAGAGGTAAGACTATTCCACATTTTTCTCTTCGAGGTTTTTTTTCTAGCAGGCGCTGACATTACTGTCTGGGAAATAACGTCAGCCGAAATCAAGAGGGGAAAGCGGAAACGACGAGGGAACGACTGGTTCCTCATCTAACGATGTTACGGCGGCTTTGATCCATCAAGGTGTCGGATTACGACATTCGAAGGCTTTTCGTGAACGGAAATGTAGTCGGTTAGATAGATAGAGTCGCCGAAAATGTGTCGAATTATTTTCCTTTATTTTATTTCCTCTAAAAGTCTTGAATAATTTTTCCATCGCGATGATATATCATATAATGCCAGTATTTTTGATGAAGAATAACGCTTTCTACGCCATAATCTTTTCAATAAGCTTTTTAGTGATGAATGATTAAGCACGCGATAGTTTCGGCAAATTAAACTTGAGGGTCGCAAAGCGATAAAATCTTACTCTTTTATTAATTATATATATTCCTCTCGCATTCTCGCGAATATTGGCAGCAGAAGTGTTGATCGATGTCAACGGGTGTTTCAGCGATACTGGAAACAATGCCCCTTTGATTACGAAACAATGTGCGTTGTGGTCGCTGTAATCGTGATCGGATCGCGGGTGAAGGTTTGCCCGGGACGTACAATCGGAAATCAATTTACACGGATCGGTATTCTTAGCCTACGTATTATCAATGCATCTTAATTACAGAGCAAATCCTCTCGCGAGAAGAAGTTGTCATTCATTCTTTTATAAAAGCAATTCCGGGATTTTTCTTCGAATATCTTTTTGTATCTCACGTTGATGTAAACGCAATTTTTTACATTAAAAAAATTAAAGTTGGGTGACTATATTTATGAATGGAATAATAAGATATAGTCAGACATGCGAGTAAAATCAATATCCGAATCAGTATCATTAAAAAAATTAAAATTGAATGGCTAGATTTTCTAGTGGAATAAGTAGAATATAGTCAGACATGCGAGAGTATAACTAGTATCCGTATCAATATTAATATCAATTATTTGTGTACCTTTCCATTTTATTGCTAAAAATATAATCTATAAAATATATTTAAATTAGAAATTTGATTCTTACGATAATTTAGTTTTGCGACAAGAAAAGGAGAAAATCGATTTCGGGAATTCGTAAACTAATCAATTGTATATCTTAATCTTTCTTAAATATTTTCTAAACGAACGTAGGAATACTAGATATCTAGTTGCAAGTTTTTATTAACCAATGGACCAGATCGTTCTTCGTACTGCATGTTACGCCGAGCCAGATTTAACGATATTCCCGACTCTGTCGGACTCTATATCCCGGGATCCGCCGTATCAGGAAAAAGGAACGAGAGTACGAATGAATGAAGAAGAAAGAAAAATGAGAGCGTTATATAGAGTAGCAAACTACGCGGTTATATCCCGGCGTGCGCGAAATTTCAAGCGGGATCTGTCAATTCGTCGTTTTTTTTCCCCCTCCCTTCTCCCGTAAACCTCGATCCGTTTGCGAAAAAAACGAGCGCATAAATATCGGGCAGAGGCGACGAACGACAGAATCGTCAAAGCTACATGCGGCGGTACACGCGGACCATCCGCGCGAATCCGCCACGACTGATAGTGCATTAATATCTCTCGGTGTGTGCGATTCATGACGGATGATCAATCACGCGAAAGATTTATTCCCGCCGTGTTGTCTCTTCCCCTTCGGCTCCTGCTACATTCCGTCTCGGTGCATCCATAATTGCAGAATGATTGTCGGATCCCATCGTGATTGTCGATGACGATATTGTCGTCCTTATATCAGGAAATGGATTCGAAATCGCAACATCCGTTTGTGAGATACGCGAGGGAAAGAAAGATTCTTCGAGAGTTTTACAAAATTTATAATTACGATGAAACTTGTGTCATATAATTGGCATCTCCAATGTTGCACAGATATAGAAATTTATCTTCGATATTGCGTCCCATTTATTCACGCGAGATTTATTCACGGCTGTTTCCAATCCCGGTTACCGCGTTTAATCAATCTTTTATCGGCGTCGTCGCCGCCGATATTGTTGACGTGTTTTATTAATCAATTCATTTCGACGAATATATACGCGATTCGTGTGGCAGACTGTTATTTCGCAATTTATTTTTGCCGTGTGTTAGTCACCGTCGCAGCTATGCCGTTTGTAATTGCGAAATGATCGCAAACATCGTCGGGAATAAATCCGCCTTCCTGCACGCAAAAAAATGACTTAACAATAGCAGCTAAATTTCAGTAGCTGAATCAAACTTAGCTGTAAGAGCTATCGCCTTAGTGTCATAGCTAAGTACTAGTTATTATAGGTAAAAAAAATTTACTGTGGCATGAAAATTTATTAGCTGAAATTGAAAGCGTATATTAACACGAGCAGCTATAAAGATAGCAACCGTACCTAAATTTCTTACTATGCGCATACATTGCGGAATATGCTTTATAGCTAAAACATTTAGCACGCGCAGCTAAGTTTATGGGTATGCGCGCGAATCTTCGATTCACAATTGTTTAATTGTTTCTGCGACGCTGTCATTGACAACATCGACGCGTTAAAATAGCTAAAAAAAAAAAAAAAAATAGCTAATAAATTTAGCTTGGGCAGCAACAGTATTAGCTGTCCTTATTTTAAGGACACATTTTACCTATCAATGCTATATATTAGCTCCTGTTGCTAATCTTTTTTTTCCGTGTGGTTTGTATACCTTGCGCTTTCCCCACGCGGGATTGTTACACGTTACTCTTTTCACACGTAGCACGTGACAAAGTCACGGTACGTAGGCAACGGGGTATTAACGACGTTGCACCGATGGATAAATTGCAGCGTCACGCGACACAAATATTTCATACTTCATCATTCTTCCTCTCTCTCTCTCTCTCTCTCTCTCTCTCTCCCCAATTTCCTTTTATTCCTTTAATTTTATCATAAGTCAGCAGTGCATTAACCCGGTAACCGCCCAGTGCGCCCATGTTTAACGCAGTGTTCAACGCAGTCGCGAAGAAAGTAAAACACTTGTAGCGTAAAGCCTTTTTCCTCTCGGGCTCTTTATTCAGGCAAAATGTAAACTTCAAATAAGTAGGACACGTCGCTCAGGAGAACTCGCCAGGAATATAACGAAAATATATATTCATATATACACTGTGATGTATATCATTTATGATCGAGTGATGCACTTAGTCATTTGCGTTGTTACAGAATTCAGTTCCATTAATTTAATTGTTTGACTTTAACTCTATCTCGTTATCGAAATTTGTTTTTTTAACATCTTTTTTTTTTTTACACAACATTGCATTCATGATACAAAATTCGATTACGTCGTAAATTAATCATGACGTTATTGAATAATGCATTCAATTATCAACCCCTTCCCCCTCCTCCCTTCCAGCCCATCCCATTTTGTATAGAGGAACCGTAGCCTAGCGTTCTTCAGCAGGGGTTAAACCTCGGCTTGCATTACACGCGTCATAGTGTCACGCGACTCAAATATTTCGTGCCTTCGTGCCCGTCCCTCTTTCGCTCATTTATCTCTGTCTCCCTTCCGGGCGCGCTCTTTCTCACCCCGATCGTCTCTTTTTCACGCCCGTGCACGGTCTCGACCCGTCTCGTTATCTTCACACTTCACTTGAATTTCTCGTATCAGGATCATCTTAGTCCTCGCGCTATCTCCGCGCACGCCGTACAAGATAACCGGGCGTACTAAAGTTCGCTGTACCGGAAACTCTGGGTAAGTTTCGAGCCGAGCGACTCGTTGCTCCGCGTGTTATCGGGGAAATATATTTTGGCTTTTTATAATTCCGGATATCATACCCCTCCGGTGACATATCATCCGTACTCTTTATTACGGTCAGTCTGTCAGATCTGGCGAGGACATATGGGACAGCGCGCAATTTGTAAAACGATCATTTTATTGACAATCACAAATCGAAAGATAAATATTAGCACATATCTGTTAAAAATGATATTCCACATAATAAAAAAAAAAAAATAAAAAAAAAATCTCTTTTGAAAGAGAGTATTTATTTATTCAGGAAGATATCGCGCATATATTTTTGTCCTTTTTTGATGTAGAAAGAAAATTTTGGAGTAGGGCATATTTAACTTATTATTAAACATATCATTAATTTTTCCGGTATATCTACAAAAATGGGATGCGATTCCAATATAAAATTCTTAATTTTGTTATTGCAATTTACATTTAATATTGCAGTTAGGATCAAAATCTACATCAATAGCAATTTATTATATTTCTCTCCCATCGTATAATTTTTAATCTGTAATTCTTATTCTTTAATGTGTACTCTTAAAAAGAGAATTAGAACAATGACAGATTGCTCATTCCCCTGTACCTCATTGCCCACGATATTCTTGCTGACAGAGATAGAACGATGTTGAAATAAATGCTCACGCGTAGCGTTATGCGCGCACAAATTGTGGCACTTTGTCGCGTTATTCGCGAGATAAAAACCGCTGGTCATAGTGTACCACGGTTCTCGCGAATCACAATTTCACGCCGCTGTCGACATGACACACGGTATGCACATGCGTTCCACCGTGCGAAGGCAATATTCCGATCGAACATGATAATAAAAAGCAACGGAATCCGGAATAGTTCAGGGGCTCGGATACTATCGACCAACTCCCCTCTTTTTACCTCGTCTCACCCCCCCGTTGTCCGCCTTGTTGTTTGTTGCGATCCACTCACGTTTTCGCCAGGATGGAGCAAGGAATGCGTTTTGCCGTGTTCATCTTTTTTTTTCTCCCTCTCCTTTCTCTTTCTGTCCAAGCATACTGACATCGGTATCCACGAATGGGCGGAATAGGGAAACCAAAAGAAAACATCGCGAAAAAAATGCGATGGAAAAAAAGAGGAATATATAAAGGATGGGCGCGCACATTTTCGCAAAGAAGCGGCCGCGCACTTTGGAATGCTGAGCGCGTCACGAAAATAACAATTCCGCCGCTTAAGTTGCCCGACGTGAACTGATGCTCTTGCCGATCCTGGATTATTCACACGCGACCAATCTCGATTCTATGCCGCTGCTGCGCCGAGAAAATATGCACACACACGCATTATAGGAAAATAGGAAGGGGCATACATTTATACACGTCGTTGCGAATTTATTTTCTCGTACGATCGTAGATTGACAAATCCACACAATTTTTTCTACGTAAAAGTAAACTTGAAGTGATTTGGATATTATTTAATTTGTATATATAATTTTGATTCGGTTATTACTCTTTACATCTTGCTTTTAATATAAATTTTTAGATTCCATAATTTTCAATAACTTACGGAATTTTTAATATATGTGAAATATGCAAAAATTATCTGTATCAAATAACCAATATTTTTATATAATAAAATATTCTTTCACATAGATCCAGTATTTTCTATATGGGTGCATATTTTTCAAGATATATAATAATTCGATTTATTCGAAATTCCAGGTTTTATTAACGGAATCAGAATTCCGACCACGTTTCATCGTTTTCGCTATTAACTAGTTGACAGTTCCGTAATAACAAAATCTGTGTGACAAGGATTTCGAAAATTTACACCGTGAAATAAAACAATTTCGCCCGGGCACCGGCAAAACTTATATCTTTACTGTCTTCTGTCCGAATTTCTCATTTTCGCCGGCCTTTCCTTCTCTTTCTCTCTCTTTTTCTCTCTTCTTTTTCCTCTTTATTTGCTTCTGGGAAACCGGCTAAATCACGCTCGGCTTCCCTATCGTAGGAGGGATGACTGGATTTATAGTTCACACGGCTCTACGACGGTCCAGAAATCGTACACGACGTGAATAATTTCGGTTGCACGTGTTTCTACGTACGTGCACGGGGTGGGCGCATATTTCTCCGGGGGGTATATGCGATTTTTGAGTCGTTCTACGCGAACTGCATGGATTTCCTATGTAAAATCGCGTAGGATGCATAAAAACGCGACGCGGTCGAGCTTTGTTCAATCATTGCGATCTCACGTCGAATATCCCACGGTACTCTTGATATTTCCGAATATTCTTGTAACCGCGGTAAATATTATTCAGATCTCCTTTTTTTCTCACGTATGTGGATGAAAGCAGGATTTGCCGGAACAGCGAAAGAGATATCCCTCATCGGATTATAAAATAACGAGCTATGAAATTCAAAAAATGTCCGAAATACGTGATTGTCTACGGCATTATATTATTCCGAGTTTCCCAACTCCTTTCGAGAGTTGAGACTATAAAGTTGCCTAAATACTATATTACACACATCTCTCGAGTTCACTAAAAGCCTTCGAGCCGCCTTTAATAATGTCGACGGAGCAGGAGCTTTTGAAATTTTATCGACCATCCGGATACCCGGCTATAAATCACGAGTTTTTATTCCAGTCAGTCGGCGAGAACGCCAACGAGGACGACGATTCCTACGACGAGGAGTAGAACGAGGAGACGGGAAGGGGATAAAGATGTTCACGTTGAAACTGCAACGACCACAGAATTCTTGCATGCAGCGAAATCAGGACTGCTGACCGAGCTCTGTAACCGAATGCACCTGCTGTTATACGCGGTCGTACATATGTGTGCATATGTATATATATATATATATATATATACATATATGCAGGGTGTGTTTTTGCACAGACGCATACCCACACGCCCGTAAGCTCGGTTACGAACACACGTCGGACCGGACAAAATAGGGGCATCCCTCATTTTCGATTTGTTTCTGTCTATTTGAAAAATGGAGAACGCAGTTCGTGGTCTTTCGCGGTCCTGATTTTCCAGGCATGCGGCAAATCTGTGCTCGGAAAAAGATAAAAATAAAATCGCGCGACAGCGAGGTTGGCTTTGTGCCCTTTCCATATTCTATCGCAGAACTCTCGCGAGACAGAGGCATGCGCGAAATAATGAATTTTGTTCCTAAAGTGTGCATATAATCCACCATTCTATTAATCCAATTATCTTTCCGATATAGAAAGGCGGCGATCTATATATCATCGGGCCTGTATTTTTATACCCTATTGTTAAAGTAAAGCAACGTTAGGTCTTTGTGTCGACATTTTGAACTAAATAATATCCATCGCGTTTAATTAATTCGGTCGAGAGAGAATAATTCTCCATTTTATTTCGAAAGTTTTATGATGAAATGTCAAGTCGAGAAAATAATACTTACGGATATCAAGAATATGTAAATTCAACATCATTGACGATGCTTTTCTTTTCTCAATATATATATATATATTGGATGATTGCATAAGTTCGTGCCCGATTTTCATAGTCCGTTTATTAACGTGTATATATATATATATCTCTTGGGTCTTACTAACGGTGCGGGTACACACTAATGTACGAAAATATTACTAATAACAAACAGGTTCGAAACCTCGGCGAGGGCGGTAACACCTGTCTGGATTCGCCTGCCCGCAAGGCCGATTTACACAAGCCATGTGGATTGTATCCCTGCCATCGACAGGGTGGAAATCAGGTACAATAGACATCGTCAATGCGAAGGAATTCCTTCGTCACAAAGCACACTATTCCGCGAAATGCCTGTCTGCGCTTGATGTGTGAAAATGTGTATGCATACAAAGTTTGAAACGGAAACACGATTTTTTTTCTTTTGTTGCTGAATTTTGTTTGACTTCAAAGTTTTATTCGCTATTGCTGGTGACGTCGTTTGACACTAAGTTTCGAGACATCGAAACACCTGCTACGAACAGCCTTTGTTGCACGGGAATGTCAAAACTGACGGTACGTAGTATAAATAGAAAATCTAAGATAAAAGAAAATTTGCAATAATTAAATTTTAATTACTTTAATTTATTAAAGAATAAGTCAGTAAAGAGTTTTATGAATTGTACATTTGTAATATTGCAATAACAGCGGCCGAGATATCTCTCATTCCATCGCTCGACATGTGAGACTGGCTGTTATAGCTTTCAACCACCGAACAACGATGCTTGTTAGCAGCCGCAGACCGTCGGTATTTAGCCTAATTATTATGGTATAATGCTGAGTAAACAACGCACATGGATCGCTCGTTTCGAAATGTGCGTCCCATAATTCCACCGCGATGCTCTGATCGAAGCTACATACCAAATTACTAGAAAATCGAGTTTCCGTCTCATTGATGATATCGATCCGCTATCATTTCCCCAATGACGACCGAGTACCTAATCGTACGCACGTTCGCTCTATGTATCCCCGTGCAAATGTATGCGTATGCGTGCATGTTTGCTCGCGTTTCCAGCTGCTTGGATTCTCGAATAGGCGAATAGGTTAAAATTGTGCGACCGCACGAAACATCGAGTGAGTAATAGCGAGTCTTTTATCTGCCGTTTAATCGTTTGTGAACCCTCTGTTGAATTCTCCAACGCAGATTCGGCAGATCGTTAGCGGAATATGCATTGATTCACCTGGGAAATCGGAAGACATGCATCAACCGGTGGGCTTGTATCCCTGTCACCGTCAAGGCGGCAATCAGGTACACGAATAAAGCCGCGACGCGATATAATCACGGACGCTAAATAAAACGATTGAATATCGAGTGTGAAGCGTCTCTCGTGGCTTCTCTAACCGGTTGACGGATGGGTGACAGATGCATGCATTTGATCTAATCTAATGTATGGCTTTGGAGTCGAAAGATACAATGAGACTTGTATAAAGATTGATTCTCTCGGAACACCTGTACGCTCGCGTGCACGCTAACTCGCCACTAATCGCCCTACGTCTCGACGCGATTAGTAGCGTCGCTAATCTGGTGCAGGTGCCCATCAATCCATGTTCCTACTACTTCTCGGTGCAATGACCCCCAATCGCTGTCTTTACGCACAGTACTATTCACAGGTTATCACTATATTTTACGTTGATGTAGTATAAGATAGATTTTTATTTAATTATCTCGATCTTTTTTCTCGGTCTTCTATAATTTGTCAAGAAAGGAGAGTAGGCTGTAAATATTTTAAACGCTTCATTCTTTGTATTTTATTATATAATTTTATCTTAAGACGAAAAGAAAATAAATATGTCACGTAATATATGCAAAAAGGGTCTAGTCGTTTTTGCATTTCTTTTAATTGATTGCATTGATGATAAGCGCGATACATAGAAAATAGCAACAATTTCATTAGCGACTTACACTTGCCACGTCGACTCGAATCGCCTCGTAAATTCGTGCATTATCTTACTTCTTGCACTCGTCGGTCTTTGCGCGATCTATTATTAAAGCCCATGCGAAATAGAACGTACGTACGTGCGTAGATTGTTCCGTGATTCACACACACACACACACACACACAATACATTTATACACGCACAGAAACGCCGACGTTTAACAAGCGTGGCGATCGGTTTTGGACAACCAAAAACACAATCGCTCGGGGCTTGCTTAGCCTGGTAAAGCGCTGCTTTAATTTAGCTGTTGGCCCTCGCAATTAAGCCGCGGTTTAACGGCAATTACGCTTTCGATCATCGCCCGCGTGACGCTGATAAAGTCGCAACCCCCGATGCGTGCATCACGTTAGGGCGGCATCGACGGGATGCGCGTCGGTGATCCGGGATCAGTCGCGATCGCGGATGATGGAAGATGAATAATCGTATCATCGGATGGAAGGCGAGTGCATCGCGCGAGATAGCCGCGTTGCGGTCGCCGAGTGGTCGGTTTATGGCGGCTACAATGCTATCTGGACTACGCGCGTGTACGGAATTATCATCGGCATTATGTGCGCTCGGGGATCATGATATAAACATTGCGTCGTGTCACGCTGTAATTACGAAGCTCGCGATTGTCCACAATACACGCTAACTGATACATGCATTTTTTATGAAATTGCAATTAAACGCTGATGACTATTTTATCGTTCGTTATTTGTTCTACCACATTTGTTTTTGTTTACAGCAAAAAAAAAAAAAAAAAAAATAACGCAGTTATTACAGAGATGAGCATGCGATATATAACAGGAAGTTGTGTGCGAGTTTGTGTGCATTAGAGTGCGTAACATATGTAACATATTTGTATTATACTAGAGACGGCGTAATATAACACGCTCTGATTTGAGAGTTTCAGGCAGAATGGAACGCGGGTCGTGCATGGCTAACGATGCTTGATGATGCATGTGTGCAGTGAATGCTTGCTTCTCGTTATCCCGTGTCCACTATCCCTAATTATACTTGTAAAGCACTTCAAAACAACTATATTGTCGACTCGATGATTCTGACAGCCGCAGTCCTATTTCATAGTCCGTGCCCGCTTGCCGCTATTAAATTAGCGATAATTACGACCGCGAATATATGCAGATCTGTAACGAGCCCTTGCTCCATTCATTCATATATATATTGTATTATCTATATTTTTTGCGAGTTCTTTTCTTACATTTTTTAAAAAATGAACTTATATCTCGTCAACCTGTACGAATTCGCGCCTTTGAATCTCGCTTCGTTAATTCGCGAAACGGAGTCACGCATAAAAAGGGTCAGTCGCCTTTATGGGGGTGGCAACACGTCGGCGTTCGCTGTCAATTCCAGGCGGCTGGAATTGCACAAACATCGACCGGCGAGCGGTCAGATGAGTGTAATTTCGAGGACCACTGGACTCGATTATCGGCGTTCATTATATGGACGCGGCTCTCTTTGACGCGTTCTCCGACTTCGCGCGAACCTAAATCGGCGACGCGCATCGCCCGCGATAAATAACTGTTAGCCGCACATTTCTCACTCACACCCGTGACACCCGTTATTTTACGAGAGACGCGTGTAAATCGAGTATCGCCCGTCCTGTAATACCGCGAAAATCCGCGTTTACCCGCAGCCACCGAGCGCGATAATAATCTCTCTCGCGAGGACATGACGCTTATTTTCACGCGCCGCAAACACACAATACGATGAGATTATAAACGCGGGTCCCAACAATTTTATAGTGTTTTGCGTTCCTGTGGTTTATGCGTCGCGGATATTGCCGCTATCGCAAATATCCTTGTTTCGGAGGTAGATAGATTCACAATAATGCGGGCGTGGACGCTTTGTAAAAAATATATTATCGAGAGGAATTTATTAAAAACCACTCACACATGTTTTGTTCGCGTCAAACTCTCTTTTGCTCGTATAATAACAAAATGTACCCGTATATATCAATTTTATTAATGACAATCTTTCCCCCGTCTGTGCAAAATTATTTTTTTTCATAATGGCGTGTGCTAGAATCATCGATCGTAGGCAGGCCTGTAAATGCCAAAATTCTGGAGACTATAATAGAGACTGTTTGTTGCAGTACTGGATGCTCAGCAAGACGGGTGAAATCCGTCGAGACGAGTCGTGCCTAGACTACAGCGGTAGCGACGTAATCCTTTATCCCTGCCACGGTAGTAAAGGAAATCAACAATGGGTTTACAGTCCTCAGGTAATGGGTTGTCTTCAATACTTTTATAAAATTGAATCTTCTGTTTAAACTGCTCTTTCAAAGAAAACTTGATCGACTTTTTAATTCTATTTTTTCAGACTAATCACATCAGGCATGGCAGCAGCGACAAGTGTCTAGCGATTACAGAGAGCAAGCAGCAACTGGTGATGGAAGAGTGCTCACCCAATGCACCGAGACAGAGATGGTCCTTCGAGAATTACGACCCGTCAAAGCTGTGATACCGCGCCTTCTCGCGTCGTCATTCGCACAACAATCTCGATCAGGTCGCCGGATCTTGGCTGCCAGGGAAACGATACTCGATCGCCAAGACTCGCTTTGGCAGATAAATATTTTGCAATTCCGAAATATCGAGGAGATATTCTCCTGCGAAATCATTCCAAATCGCTCGAACGATCGTGGCAAACTCTCCACGCGATTCCTCGATGTTCGCCGAGAAACAATTGGACGAAAGTTCAAGTCTACCATTTCATCGGCGTGATCGAAATGTGGAGAACAAAGCGGAAGATCGCGATGCAACGAAACATTCGCGAGGACAATATACTTAGAAAATTTTTTACTCAAGAAATTGCATTTAATTAGAATAACTTCTGAGCGCCACGTGGTGTTGATTTGAATTGTAGTTGCCCTAAGTATTCCTAATATTGCGAAAGATTGGCCCGAATAGGATCATGAACGAACGTGATCGTATCGACCTTCGAATAGCTCTCGATCGTCACTTTCGTTCGCTGATCGTTCGCGCTTCCACGAAGATCAAGGAAGCGGGATGCTCGGTGCCATCGCAGGAACGTATCGATTTTTGCGAGCGAATCGTCGATTGTCCGTCGAGATGACACTAGTGTGAATAGATTATGAGTAATCTTTCTTTTTTCCCTATGTTATAACGCGCCGACACAATTTCCGAGAACAAACTCCAAAATGTCTTCAATAAGTCTGTGAACAAATGGTTATCTTTTAGAAAGCATCAAGTGCCAAATTTAAAATATTCTCATCGTAAGCTTTTTCTAACTCTAGTGGCAAACTCTCCGGTGCAATTAAAATAACGAGCACGTATCGCCGTTAAAGAAAACCCGTAATCGCGTGCACCGAATGATTCAAGGAGATCGTATTAGACGATATTTGCGCAGTCATACCCTTCTATTAACTCAGAGTGCCATGTGCGAGTTCGAAAGAAACGCGATAGGAATTATAACTCTCTTAACGCAAGTTGCGTTAAAATAACTGGATTTGTTCTCTCATGCAACGGCTTACAAAATATCTCGCAATCAGAGATAATTTATTCTTAATTTTGACGAATTTGTCTCAGATTATTTGTTGGTACTCGAGGAATTTTTAAGATAGTAGCTATTCGTATCTGTTATCAATGCAGACACGAATGACAAATATCTATTTTTCATTTCATCGTAAAGACGTATACAATAATTTTGACCGATAACTATTTTTTTTATTCTACCTGTTAAAGTAGTTTTCAAATATGCGTCATATTGCATCAGTCGACGATTCGACGATCCGCGATGGCATTCGTTGATCGCCCAACGTAGTCTCTTTCTTTTCGGAGATAAAGTTTGCATTCCAGAGCCGAGACGATGAAACAAAAACGGCAACGTTTGGCGTAACAAAAAGAGTATTTTTTTCTTTTTAATTTTTAATTTAAATACTCGTAAGTAATTTTAAGGGAGACGCGCAGATGAAAAGGAAAGCGGCGAAACATTCCGAATACACAGGCGAATTGTTTCATTCTGTTTGTACATTCGTGTAAGATACGATGTCTTGATGCCAGTTCAGGATATAAGTACCGCCTAAGTAAGTGGAAGGGAGTGTTCTCTAAATGTGTGAATATACATGAACTATTAATACGTGAACTTCTCTTATCTTCGCTTTTGACAGTCACGAACGCGATTGACTCGTGATTGCGAAACAGCGATTAGTTGAATGTGTATAAATCTGCTAATGAATACAAACAGAGTATACTTTTATAGAAACCATGAGTTTTTTGCTATAATTTTAACTACATATCACAATACGAACGAGAGTCGACATAAAAGAATAACAGAGTTTTCATATCAAAGAATTGAGATTACAATTATTAACAAGTCTTTTCACTTGTTAGTTATAATTATAAATTTACGAGATGTTTTTCTGGAAAATATCTATTATACATATAACTGCAGCCTGACTGTAGTTTGACAATTTTATTCATGCAATTTTTCATGAAATACATGATAAATGTCGACAGTTGTTATTATTTAAAAATAATCTGCGTTATTTGTAATTTTACGAATTTCATCACGTGATGCAATTTTATACATATCTCTTTCTTCTTAAGTTAAATTTTATAAAAAAATATATTTAATATTTCTTAAAGAAAGAAGAAATTGTGACGAATAAAATCTAAATATTATGTATGTGTGTGTGTGTGTTGAATCTTTAAAAAAAAATTAGAAAGAAAAAAATAAAACTTACGTATTCTGTTAAAATCAGCCAAATGAGATGTTCAGAAATCGCAACGAAAAATGAGAAGCTACGGTTCGCACTTTTCGTGAATGAAATAAACCGCGTTCAGGTTTGCGATTTTGCGTGTAATTAATCGTGAATGTGTGAATGCGTTAACATATGTTTAATTGCATAAAAGATTCCATAGAAAAAAAAGAAAAAGGAAGAGAGAGAGAGAGAAGCAGCGAGTTAGCGCTAGCCTGTGTATGAATGTGTGCTTAATTAGATACGACTAACTAGCGGTTTTCATCTTAGGGCTAATCAAGTTTCTCGAAACCGCAATTTTTGCCAATGCGAGATACAAGACATGTTGAGTAGCTTAGGGAGTGATCGTATGTCGCGGATAATCTCGGGCGAAGAAATTCGCTTCGAAATTATCGGGTCCTGATGGCCGAAGCGAGCAGATTACTCGCGAACGCAAATCGAGAGGAAGTTTATACAGATTCTATATATGACATTTTCTACGTTTGGTAAGGACGTTGCATATCGTAAGATGATGGGAGATGAGATTGATAGTAATAAATAAATGCGAATAACGCGATCACGCCGGAACAATGTTTCCTGCGCACGCGGCGTTTGTCGCGCGTTTAATTAATGTAATATCGAACGTGCCTTATTTCGTGTATATATAAATATTACTATATCATTATATATATACATTACTACAAACCTCTATCACATAACGTGCAAGTATTTGTGTTGAATAAATCGATGTTGTTTTATGTTATCAATAGCTTTCAAATAGCTCCCTCTGTCCCTCGCATCTTATTCTCATCTTTAATATCGTAAATTAAAATTTACATGTATTTACAATCTAACGTACGACGAAATAATTCTGTACTTACGGCCTTGAACATGTAAAGCGATATATATTTTCGAGAGAAGCATAAATACGGACTTTCCATAAAGGAGCCCGGGACGTTGCCTGGAAATGGAACGTGGCATACTTTCAGTTAGCCCTGACCCAATTCCGGCCACCCACGAGTTTCGCTGTTTCGAGGAGCAAGGTAAACGGCGGCCTCGCCAAGGATCAATAATGACGCCGGAAAAATCTCGTGACGGAATGGCGGGCACGAGGTATTGTCGTCGTATCGACAATTTGGCGATTGGCTTGAAACTGGGAGTGGCAATGTGAATTATGTACAGTTACATATTTCACATCTCCGTCCGACACGAGAAAGCTTTCTGTGCTAATGATGTTCCTGCTTATTACAACCAGCCGCTCCTATCTATCGAACCGTTCACCAATTATCGAGGGGTTGCTACGTAAACGAGAATGAAATCGCTCGTTATTCTCGCGCAGGCGTTCTCGTCGGCGCATCTCGCTGTCCGAGAGACTCCACTCGAATAAAAGGGGATGAAAAGTCCTGCGAGGGTCGCTTCGGCGCAGTTCGAAGCTTGGATGTATGTTTTGAACTACTCTTAAGAATAGTTTAATCTTTGTTTATAAATTTTAATTTGCGTATGTTTAGGAGAAAAAAATTGAACAATAAGAAATAGATGTAAAAAAAATCCTAGTCTTTTTTTTATTTTTAATTGACGTAAAACACATAAAAAGTAATGTGTAAACCATATATTTTCAATTAAAATTTAAGCGAGAAAGAAAAGTAGACTTTTAATTATATTAACATTTAGGATTCTTTAATCAGTTGTATGAAACAATTGCGAATATAAAATCTATAAAATTGAGCCATTAACATTAATATAATAGTAAGTGATAAATTATTATTTAATACAACAAAGAGAGAAAGAGAGACAGAATAATAATTAATTTTAGTTTTTTATATATTTTTTATATATTTTATTAACAATGTTAATAATATTTTTATATTATCTAATTATTTATTTAATTCATCTGCATATTTTATTTTGTACATTGCAATATTTTTACAAATATCTAAGAATATTTATAAATAGAGTTATATATGTATGTATTCAAAGATATCAATCATTTTCTTCGCGTATTTAAATCGTGTTGCAACTTGTTGCGATGCCGAGTCATATTGATTAAGAGAAAAAGATAGCAGGGTTCCTTGGAAAGAGACGAAAGATTTTTCACCGACATGAATGACTCTACAGTGCCAGATTTTGAGCTTGACCCGGATTTATCACATCACCTTCGATTTCGTTGCTCGCTTATTGTCAAAAATAATATCAAGGTGCATGCATGACATTTGAAATATTAATATCTGAAAAACAGATGACTGGAAAATTCTTCGAGTAATGGAATGATATAGCTTTTCGAAGGTGTATTCAAGGATTTTTACGTATCTAATATTATAAAAAATTCATAAGAACGCAATTACAAAATCTAAAAAAAAACTAGAGCCACATAAGATTGTGTATCTTAAAAATCTTTTTCTTATATATAAATATATATAATTATGTAATATAGTTTATATATTATACAAGATACGTATTATCAATCCACATTCCATAAGAAGAAAGAAATTTCACAATTCAAGATTGAAATTCTTAAAACTTATATAGCTATACAATTTGAATATAAATTGTTCAAATATATTGTTAAAAATCGAAAATAATGACATGAACAAAAATGAAAATCTAGCAAATCTTGTGTATCGAACAGAATAGTACTGAGCGATATCTAATGAATCACTCGACTCAAGGATATCTATCTCGCTTGAAACTATCCTGTTCGGTTGGGGGAAGGTCCTCCGGGTCGAGCCGGCGTAGAAGCGGGCGTCGTCGGCACCCCAACATGACGCAGGCGCCGCGATGCCACTCCGACGCCTCGTCGACAGGAAGTTCTGCATCTGTTCGGCTCTTTGCTCGCCTAAAGACTTCGCCCTGTTCTCTCTCTGATCAAACACCCATTCACGAATCCAACCTCCGACGCGTCCAGACCTTCCCGAATCGAGCACAAAGACGACAGCCGGAACTGACGTTCGCGTACATCGTCTTCTGCGATCCAAATCGTTTCTCTTTCGCGACAGAGTGGTTCATTCCGAAGAGCTTTATTCCGCGCGCTGGGAAGCCCCGAGATCAATCCCACGACGTCGATTGCATCCCCAAGCTCGATACGACAGATCTCTAGGTATTTGCATCACGATCTCGAAATATTTTGATAAATTCCGGTGCAATTTTTATTAATTTCTATGTCAGATTATCTTGATATTGTCAAGTAAATCATTATTCGATTGTCTTTACATTTTACGTATTAATTTTTAAAACGTGATATTTACAGTTGTGTTCCTCAGTTTGCAAAATTATATTTTTGTATGTCCTCAATTAATATGTTATAAATATTAATGAGAGAGAAAAAATGTTTCAATTTTTTGTAATGATTTAGTATTAAACGATTAATTTATTTCTGCTGCGAATTTTATAACTTTTAGTGACTAATATATCTCGTTTTCTTTTTTTACGCAATCGATTCAACTAACGACCGACTGATTTTATCAACGACATTCGAAAAGTGAGTTAAAAGTGTTTTTTCGGGGCAAAAGCAGCCCGGCAAGCGAAGAGGCTCCGGGACCAAAGCAACAGGTAACACACACTTCGCTTTATATCGAAACTCTTTTCCTATTTACTCTTTCTTGAACATTCGTTGCTATTTTCTTTCCATTATTCTCTGTTATTTACAATTGTACATAATTATTTAAAACATTTAATTGTTATTAAGTAAAAGAATTTAATTATTGTCGATAATAACAAGTTTAATTAAATAATTAATTTATAGTATAAAAAGAATTAATTAATTCTGATATTTTTAAGTAATGTAACAAAGTGCTTATACCCAGGTTTTTTTTAAACAGACAACTGGCATTATAATTCTTTAAGATAGATTTAATATAATAAAATAATATTGTACAGCAACACATAAATTAAATTTGAAGAAGGGAGTAATATATTATGAAAGAGAGTATATATTTAATATATAATATATCCTGTGTGAATAATGTTTTCTCGATATATTTCTTGCAGACATTCATTATTTGATTTAATTGTTTGAAAAGTAACAGTAATAAGTAGTAATTAAATACAAGGTATTATTGACAGGATTATAACAAATTGAAAATATATGCTCGTTATTTTCCTAAACCTGATAACGAATTTTTCTGTTACCAAGTAGGCAAACTACGTCACAAATAATAACCGCGTTATATAAGGCATAGTACACCCTCTCATCAAGAAAGGCTTTATCGACAAGCTTGCAGATCTTTCTCCTTGATAAAAACGCCTATACTTTATAACTTTTCAAATAAAATTTCTAATATAAAAATTTTTAGAATGATTTATTAATAGTGTATACAAAATATAAAGCAAATCCACATTCAAATGCTTTGGAAATTTATATGTTCAAACTATAGATTATTTAATAAGAGCGCGAAATAAATAAAGCAATAAAAATATTGCTGTTTTAAATAATAATTTATGGATGAAAGCGTCGTTTTTTATGCATTCCCCTCATATGTAACATATTAAAAGGCCATGGTATTTTTATCGAAGCCTGCGCACTACTCTTGTGTAGGTAATAATTATTGAACAAATTTTTCGCTTATATACGTTGTTGTTTTTTTATTACGGATAAATAAATGCAAATGCCAATGCTTACCATAATAAAAATAACTTTTATATGATAAATAATATATATAATTATGGAATTAAATAATTAAAATTAATATATATATTTGGCAAGAATAGATTTTAATCACAAATAATTTTTTTATTACTCATCTTTTTTCTGAAAAAAAAACAGGAGGATATGGGCCCGATGCCGGAGGCTTCAGGATCAGGTGTGGCCGACGAGTCGGATTATTCGACTTTCGAGAATAAAACCGGCCTGGCCGAAGACATGAAGTTCTTGGCGAGTATGCCGGAACTTTGTGATGTGACATTCCTTGTCGGTGATACCAGGGAGCCCGTTTGCGCCGTGAAGGCTGTGCTTGCGGCCAGAAGCAGGTTTGTAAAAAATAGCTTTGAACTAATACAGAACGATAACGAGTAATAGCAAATTTCCTCTATAATTTCTGCAGAGTTTTTCACAAAATGTTATATCAAACTCCGAGCCCGCAACGCAAAAAAGAACCGCCGGCGCGAGAAAACAAGATTCGGCTTTTCCTCAAGCGTAGCTCCGAGCCGTTGTTGAATTTACAGAACGCGGCACAACAGGTACTTAACAGAGAAGATAATATATAATTTTTTCGCTAATAACCAGGTTGCGATGCAACAACGCAATAACTGTAATGTATTTTATAATGTAAAGAAAAAATAGGTCTTTTTTTAAATTGCATTTAAATCTCTTTTAACATTTTATATATACGTATATATATATATGTATTTATATATTTATTTATTAAATAGTTTTAATTTTTTTCCTTAATATCTCAATATGCGTGTATATATTAATTGCAAAGTTCAGGTTAATAGACGATAATCGTTTTGTAAATAACACATGCATATAATAAATATGGACAATTTCTCAGATATGATAGGCGAACACGTGTAATATACAAGGCGCCCCAATAATTATTTATAAACTTATTTATAAATTATTTATTAACTGTATTTATTTTGAATAATTTTAATTTCAAGAAAATTTACTACTTTTTTTTCTAAGCTTTGCTAGTCTACTTAATTAATATATAATATAATTATTCACGTCTCTCTCAATTAGTCAAAATTTAAATGCGCTTTGATGAAGCGACAATTCCTTCGCTTCTTTTTTGGGGACTTTGCATATTTATCGTGGCCAATCAATCCGAAATGAATTATCAGGATAGAAATAGTAAGCGTGCATTTGTATATGTCGTGTAGCGGTCAGGGTTCACGCAGCAACTGGCCCCCATCCAAGAGGTACTTTACGTCACTTTTACGTACAATTTTACACACAGATCGAAATCCTATCCCACTTTCCTATGCTATTTCCCCGTCTCACTTCTAATCCACGCCATGTCGATGTCTCTCTATATTTCGCCCTCTTTATTTCTCCATCGCAATTTTCTACTCACTGCATTTTGATCACGAATCTATCTCCATGAGCTCCATGATTTTGTATTCATTGATTTTCTTTAGAAATTACTAGAGGAGACTATTTGAGATTTGTATGTTGACAAGTCAATGTTTGCCAGACAGAAGCTTGACTTTCTATTTAATCGAACACTCTTCCTTATTTAGGTTGCTCTTTTACGCGTCAAAGAGAGACAATCATCAAGAGTGCTCGAATATCTAATAAAATTCATACGATTATGATTAAATGCGTTAATTCCGTATTTTCAATTTTTGCATGAACGATTGAATTGTATTATTGAATCACCAGATCCACTGTAGCTGTAGATTAGCACGATTACAGTATTTACTATTTTTGATCATATATTGACGGTAACTCACTTTTATAAATCAACCAAGCGAACGAACTGTAATTATTATTGATATTATTGTATAGATTTTGGATAATATAATTTTCAGCGCAGTGAGTGAAGAGATACATAGATAATATAAGTTTATTTAAAAAGTATCCACAAATAATACACCTAAATATGTTCGCTGGTTCGATCGATTTCTTAGTTAGACGATACATTTTTACTTATCTTATTAATGTTAAATGCACAGTAGTTTGTGGCACCAAAATTAATTTTTGCGGAAATATTACTATAACGTCTCCTCGCTATAATATTTCACCTTCCACTATACAATTAGTAAGTTTGATTTACTATTACGGCAGTCCTCCCTCTTACGGAATTCCATGCAAGTTGCTTAGCACGGGAATTAAGCTTCTCAACCTTTCTTATTTCTTCATTTTTAGATATTTGCATTTTACTTTTGTATCGTAGCCGCAATCAAATCAGCATCACACGCTGATTATCGAGGAATTCGAGCCCGATGTCTTCCGGCAGCTGATCGAGTACATTCACACGGGATGTGTGACATTACAGCCTAGGACTTTGCTTGGTAATCAATTTATTATATAATAAGCCTAACAAGCCAATTAGAATGTCTATTATTTGCCGCATAGAGATTAATCATTATTTACTATTTCTTATTATTGTATCTTATCCGATATTTGCGATCTAAATACTTAGAAAGCGGAAGTTTACAAGATAACTTTGTATACTAAAAAAAGATGCGTCAAGTATTTTATCATTGAAATAAATCGGTGATTTATAAATGATGCATAATAATAATTTATCCGCAGGTGTTATGAATGCCGCCGATTATTACGGATTGGAAGAGCTTAAACAAGCCTGTCATGGTTTTATTCAATACTGTATAACTGTCGATACGGTCTGCGCTTTATTAGCATCAGCGGAGCGTTATATTCAGTATAAATGCACAAAATCTTTGGTACAAAGGGTAAATTTGCATATAATCATGAAGATTTTCAATATATCATGAATTTCAATAAATTTAAGTATCTTCATAAATGACATTAATATATATATATAAGTATATTTATTTTTTAATAATGCGTCAGAATTCTATACATATATACATATATATAGAGAAATTAAAATTTCATAAAAATTCAGAAATAATTTTAATTTTAATCTATTGTTATTTATATACATATAGCTTTGCATATATATTATTACTGTATTTATTATTTTTATATATCGTTGTGGGACTCAGGTGCTGGAATTCGTCGATGAACACGGCAACGAAGTATTGAATCTGGGATCTTTCACATTACTGCCGCAACACGTTGTCCGATTAATACTTGCCAGAGAAGAACTACGCGCAGACGAATTTACGAAATTTCAAGTAAATCTAACATACTAACGACATTTATCCCAATCTTCTTGCATCATTTAGCCAAGACTAATTAACTTCATTTTCAGGCAGCGCTAATGTGGAGTAAAAAATATTGTGACAACAATCAAACTACACCGTTGAAAGACGTAATAGGTAACTTTATCGAGTATATCCAATTTCATAAGATCCCGGCCACCGTACTGATGCATGAGGTGAAGCCGTTAGGATTAGTGCCGCTGGAGATTATCATGAACGCATTGGCATATCAGGTGCGCGTTGCTTTTCCATATATTCCGTTTTAAATTACAAAAAAATGTTTTTTAATTAACTAACATTATAAAACACTGCGTAAATTATATCACTCGAATGCGATGCGTTGATAATGCGATCAGTTGCTTTATGAGGGAATTTGTTGCAGGCAGACCCAACCAGTATCGACCCCGGGAAACTCTCCCCCCACAGAGTGAGAAGACAGGGCCGCAGTATGTCGGTCCAATCGTCCCTGGATCCGTACGGCAGCAACACGACCTTGAGCTCGAGCGGCTCCGACGCCGGATCGGATCAAAAACAACATTCTGGTAGCAACTAACCTCTGGCCACGGCCGCATTAATAGCGGCCGTTTCGGACGAGCCTCGACGAAACGAGGATATTTCCGGTTCCAACGAAGGAGCGGCGCCGACAGACGATACTGTCGCACGGGTAAAGGAGCAAAAGGAGTCCCAGTCTCAGCTTCAGGTTCAGGTTCAGGTGGAGCAAGAGCCACGATCGCAAGAATCGCAACATCAGCAGGAAAGGACAGGGAACAACGAAAGCTTCAACAAGAGCAACAGCAGCTGCAGCGTAAATTGGAACAGGAAGAACAGAAGTTGCGGCGAAAGATGGAACAAGAGGAGCGACAGCTACAACATAAACTGGAACAGGAGGAGAAAGTTTTGCAGCAAAAACTGGAGCATGAAGAACAACAGTTGCAACGAAAGCTAGAAGAAGAAGAAGAACACAAATTACGAAACAAGCTGGACAAGAAACAAGAGGAGAAACAGATTACGCAGTCGAAGGAGAATAAAGAAACGGAGCAGCAGAAGAAAGAAGAACAACAGGTACGTCTATTGAAAGATGAACAGCAGCATCAAAAGGAGGATGATAAGCAGTCGCAACAGAAAGATGAACCATCGCAACCGCTGGAAAAGGGCGAACAAGCGCGACTGAGTAAGCAGGAAGAGGGAGCGCAACCCGTAGAAGAGATGCGTCAGGAATTGCTCGCGGAGGAGTCACAGCAGAAAATAGATACGCCGGCGCAACAGGAAGACGAAAAAATGCAACGAGAAAAGGAGGAATCGCAGCTACAACAGTTTAGAGAATTGCAACAACAGCAACCGCAGCAGCAACAGCCGGGAGTTCGATCGCTCGAGCCGGTGGGTGGACTTTACATCAGGATAGTGTTGAGGCACGAGGGCCGTACGAACCTGGTCTGGCTGTACAAAACGCACATATTCTAAATTCCGATGATTCGTTTCGTCGCTTTCGTCTGGATATTTGAACGACCTCCTCGTCAATACGGCTCTACGATTTTCTCCATCCATGTTCAAAAGATATTGAGGCGCGTCAGCGCTCTGCGCGCAGAGTTATCTTTTATGTCTTAAGGAAGCATCGACGTTAATCCTTAAATATTTCTAATGTCGACGCAGAAGCGCACTATAAACATCGTCCATATATCCAGCCGCTTCTCGATTTTCGAGACAAGCGAAGTTTTAACGATGTTATCCGGTGTCGCGTTTCGGCCGTGGAGATGAGCGTCGCTATTTCTAGATATGTAATAAATCGAGATATTCCATTAGGAATCGATTGTCCACAGTCGTGGAACATGACAATTGCGCTCGTGTTATTGTTGCAGAGAGAAAAAAATATATATCTGTTAAACGTAAAATGTGCAAAAACGTAAATATGTGCAATGTACACGAAAATGCATCCGTCGCTTCGTTCGTTACGCTTTCTCTATCGTTGACAGGCACTCGATAGTATCGTTCAATCATATGGATGCATCATTGCGAGCAAATAATTAATCGAATGAGATATATGTGCGTCTAGAGACGCATTTTTGTTATATATATATATATTATAATTTATAATTTATATATTATATTTTTATATCCATTTGCATATAATTTATCTCATGCAATTATAATTTTTTATCCCTAATTTATCATAAACTATATAAACTGTCATCATTCTCAGACTCTATACTTTTCATTATTATTCTTACTGAATTCTTATTATATTTAACATTTTTATTATTAATCAACGAAACCACATTATTATCAAACTTTTCACTATGACATATCCAATGTGGTTACAATAACGATCTCAGAGAAATACTATATACGCTTGTTAAAAATAGATCTGATACTATATAGCCAAGATGCGGAATAAATTCCGTATCATTTCTGGACAACGTGGACGGTGATCTGACATTAACGAATGACTGGAGAGAGCTCGATGTTGCCGTAGGCGCTTTTCTAGACATTAGTACTAAAAAAAAAAATTCACTTTTTCAATTGCACCATCAATAATCAGAAACCAGAGATCGTAGCAAAGCTATGGTCCGGATAAACAACAGAAGTCTGAATACTTGCCAGATAAATTTCGCTGAAACGAATGCTATTGCCGTAGTGTTTAATTAGATGTAATTGCATGCGACTATATACGATAAGTTATATTTCAGTCCGTTGTAAATAAACAAGACACAGTAAAAGTTACAGGCACACGCGTGTTCTTGATAACGACGTTTAAAAATCAGTCCGGTAAAAGGATTATATAAAAGCACTTTAATTTTTGAGCGAAATTTAATAAGAACATAGATCAAAATACAAGACGTCAACAACAGTTAAGTGTAAAACATTAAACGCAGCTGTGTTTGTTACCATAAGTAATGTTTTATTACTGTCGTTATTCGCAGCTTGATTGCGTAGGTGTTAATGACATGTTTATGAGTGTGGACACATTTATCTGTCTATGTACCATTGTCTGTTTGTGCGCAGCGATATTTCTATTGTTTTATACGTAAGACATACATGTAAAAAATATATATACATATATATATTATATATATATATAATATCGTTGACCTAATAGCGCGCGAGCTCCGCGTTATAATGTTAATCGATATTGCAGTTGAGCTAAATGTAACGCAAAGTATCGTGCAAACATTATTTTTGCTCGTTTAAGGTGACCTTGATTAAAGCTAATTAACATGTTCACTGTCATCGACGCGCAGGCGCGTCCAAATATTTTGCGCTTGTCACTACCGACCCTTCTAAGCGCCCAAAATTTTATACATCCTGTCTCTCGATGATCTTATCTCGCTAAAATCAATTTTTAAGAAAACTAAAATGAATTGTTTCTGGCAGAAATAAATTTGTAATAAACAATTAGTGATAGTAAACGTGTTAATTCAATGATTTCTTTATTTAATTTGCTATTTCGACGATTATACTGGTTTATATTTCATTATCTTTTGTGTTTACAAAATTTAATATTATTATCGTTGGTCTTCCATACCTATCTTTATTTTATAATAATAACGCACACATGAAAGAAAGTCTCTTCGTTGAATACAGATTTGATAACATGTAATATATTGTATGCGTGTTGTGTAATTTTAGTTTAAATTCTATATATTAATTAAGAAATATATATTTAATCTTTTGTACATGTGTACCTTTCCCTTTTTTAGCAAGAGAAAGAGAGAGAGAGAGAGAGGTATATCCTATATAAAAGTCATACCATACAAACATTTTTTGTCTTAAAAAAAAAGAAACAGAGTTTTATGGAATTGTATAAAGTTCTCGCTGGCGGTCGATATAATTCTATATAAAGTTCGATCTATCTACTACTGTGATATACCGTAGCCAAATCAGTCCAAGTATAAATAAAAACAGGCGTGATGTCAGAAAGGTCCTTTATTTTACCTCATGATTTTTAAGCGTCTGTGAATGTTCGTAATTAAATATCCATATGATAGAGAGAGATAATAAAATTTTCAGAGTTACAAGCTTGCATGTTTCGCTATCAATGCTTGTTGTCTCGACTACAATGATATTCACGTTATTTTTTTTTTTTTTGCATAAATCTCTCGCACGCATCGCGTAATTCGCTCAACACATGGATTACGCTATTCTTATTTGCTCCATCGTATTTCTTCGCGCGGCTCGCGTGGCAAATGCTGAGCGATCAACGAGATGATAAATCGCAGACAAATAATTCGAAATAAAAAGCAAAAGGCGTTACGTCAAAAAGATCGATGAATATTATTGTGACATTTCGCACCCGTGCCTTTGCCGACCTTATTGTTTCCTGATCGACTCGACTCGTTAAGAGCGTCAGATGGTAGGCGCATCGCAAATAATTATCTTTCCAGCATCCCGATTATGCTTATGATATGAAATATCGCGAGATTTAGTCTGTCCCGATTTATCAATCCTGCCATCTGCTATTGAAGCTGTCGCGTCAGTGTGAATGGCCTTTTAAAAAGGCTGATAATTCCAACCAGACGCTACCAAAAAAAGATACAATTGAATTAACGATTTTCACTACGATATTATACGAACAAGATTTAAAGAGAGGCAAATAATATATATTGGACGAATTCTACTTAAATTTGACTAATATTTATGAGAAAGATCGTATATAATGTACGTCAAGTATGTTTTTTTGCGCTATTTTCCAAACAGTTTGCACGATACGGTATCGTTAATTTTTCAATATTGAACCATAATAACCAATTGTTACCTGCCACGATATCACCTTAACCATCAATAATTAATGTCGCTTCCGTAAAAAAAAAAAAATGGCATATGTAATGACGATTATTAATTTGCTGTATTAACATTAACTAATGACATACATTATATTATCGCGTCACTTCCATCTATCATGATTAATAATCGTGCGAGCGGAAAAGTTTTATCAGTAATGTAGTTTTCTATAAATTGACAGTCAGAGCGTGGAAACTATCAAACCATTACAGTCAGAGCGTGGAAACTCAGAGCATTACAGTTAATTCTCAAGTTTGGCATCGCGATGTCATTCTTCGTTTTAATTTTTACATCTTTCCTGGCGATCGCACTCGCCCAGAAGGATCCGCATTATGTGGATGGCAGAACAACTATGGTTCATTTGTTCGAATGGAAATTCAACGACATCGCCAAAGAATGCGAGGATTTCCTTGGTCCAAAGGGCTACGGTGGTGTACAAGTATGTATAATGAAGACGTATGGATTATTTTTATTGTGTATGAAATTTTAGATATTAATAATATTATTAACTAATTTTATACAAATCGAAAAATTCTTCTAAATAATCTATGTATGAAAATATTAAGATAAAGTGTTCGAGAAAAACACTTAAGAGGTATAGTAGAATATAGTAGATAAGATAAGATGTTTCAACATTATTATATCCCCTTTATTTAAAAAGATACTTGAATATTCTTCAAGTATCTTTTAATAGTAAGAATAATAAATATTTTTTATATTATCTTTTTATAACAGTATCAAGGTGTGTTTATATATCTCTGTTTACATTTTTCTTAATTTATTTCTTCAAATCATCTACGAATTATTAACAGACGCGAGTGTATTTTGTTTCAAATAATTTGAAAGCAAATAATATACATATATTAAATATGAATAAAAAAACAAAGAACAATAAAAATTATCTAACTTACCCTGTAAATTAAAATTATTTTTGTTAAGATCGTTCTCTCTCTTTCTCACACATTAACATAAAATAATAACTGTATTTTTGAGAGGTGGATATAAAAATTAGAATCAGTGCTGTTTCTAGCGCTAAAAACTACGTATGTGTGTGTGTGTGTGTGTGTGTATATATATGTACTTTAAAAAATATGATACAAGATAAATTTGTATCGTTTTTCTCTTATAAAACGAGATTTCTCCTATAAATATAGGTTTCTCCCATAAATGAGAATCTCATAATAAAGGACAGACCCTGGTACGAGAGATATCAGCCATTGTCCTATAACATTATTAGTCGATCCGGAAACGAATCCGAATTTGAGAACATGGTAAACAGGTGTAAAAAAGTCGGTGTACAGATATACGTTGACGTAGTCGTTAATCACATGTCAGCGGACGCACAACCCGCGTACGGCACCGGTGGCACATCAGCAGATCCGAAAGACTTCAGTTATCCGGGAGTCCCGTATAGTTCACAGGACTTCCATACACCTCCATGCCAAATCCAGAATTATAACAATGCAACCGAGGTTCGAGACTGTGAATTGTCCGGCCTTCATGATCTCAATCAGAGGAAGGATCATGTGCGAAGTGAAATAATTGAATTTTTCAATAAGCTCGTCGATCTTGGAGCCACTGGCTTGCGGTAACTATACATATATTTAATTCTATACATTTGCAATATAATTCTCCTTTTTTTATCAAGAATCATTGACGGAAAGATTGATTTCCTTGATGTAAAAGTTATTCGACTCATAAAAGATATTAAAACACTTTTAGGACTTTTAAGATTATTCGATTCATGAAAAATATTAAAAGACTTTTCTTTTTATCGGCTGCTTTTCAATGATGTGCTTTTTAATGATAACGAATCCTGTGGTAGTGTATTATTCATATTCTTTTTGCAATCTGCCCAAGTTTAATTAAGCAGAAAAGACATAATATTGATTAAGCCATTTGCAATAACGATCGCGCTTATGCAAAATCCCTATCTGCACGCAATATCAACGTACGACGGATGCACATTCCTTTGCGGCAAAATATATATATATATATATATATGCGATGAGGCATAAAATCTTCCATCTCTCTCACCCCCATGCATGAAAAGTAAACTCGCGAGACACACTCTGCAGCACCATCCCCGTTTCTCTCTCTCTCTCTCTCTTTTTCTTTCTCTTCTTCTTGCATCAAGGATGCGCCAAAGACTGATGATATTTAACATTAAACCGGACGAGAGCGGTGCCGCGCTGCAGTGGCCTGACTCGTCTGGTAGCATTAATAAATGAGAGACATCAGCTTTTAATTACGCATCTCCGTCGTAATTGTAACCCGCAGCGAAATCGTACCATCTCTCGTACCGAACCGGTGGCTTTACAACCGGAAGAGCGATATATGCGTCGGGAATGATAACGGAGCGCGATGGCGTCTTTACGGGGACTGCGGCTACGCATCTCGCATCCGCGGATTGCGAATGTCTTGCACATATCTCAAAAAGGAATGTGGCGTTGATCGCGTGTATTAAGAAATCTTGACGGGTACAAAAGTGCGCTAAAGTCACGATGCATGTACAGAAGAAATAAGTTTGTCCTGGCACATATTTTATTTTCTCGTAGCAAATTTTGGATTAATTATTATATAAATATTATTTATATAATAATTTATTATATAAAAACTGTTTATGATACCCAGAAAATAGTTTTTCTAAAAATGTGCACGTTATTTATAATATCCATATTATTTCTGATAATATAGATTGATTCTTATTATCAATACAACAGTGATAATTTCACTATAAATGAGATAAACTATTTTATTTTAATTTGCATTGCTACAAACATAAATTTACTCAACAAGATCTTCTTATCATTTATTTATTAATAAAATAGAAAAATGTTGATAAATATTAGCTTTAAAATAAAATATGTTGTTTTGCAGCGACAGCAAAATTCTTTTTCTTCATGTATAATGTTTCGTTTGCGCGAAATTATGAATGTGTCGGACGTAACGTGATGAAATTATTACGATTTAATATCATATCTTTAATTTGCAATGTAATATTATTTGAAACGGTATACTGTAAAGAAAGCGAGGAAGTCATAATCTCATTAAGTAATGAGAATTGTAATATTAATTTTATCTTTCTTACGTCTATATCTTCTTACTTGAATCAAATTACGTGTGTCCGGTTTATAATTGTAGCAATAATTTTATTTCTTTTATAATACGCATATACGATATTGTAATTAATAGAAATTCTATTGCGATAAATACTTTTCAAAATATATATAAGCAATGGTTTGGGCATTTTAAATAACTCGGCCAATTAATACGTAGTCGCGGCAGCTCGTAAATAAATTAACTCTCTCTATTCTAACTATCGCGTGTTATCCGCAGGTAAATTACAACACAAATAAATAACGTTACTTCGTCGCATCATTTTCCACGGGTTGCAATGAACTTTGACCTTTGATGCGTTAGCTACCGTGTTGCATTAACACGGCAGCACGAAGAACCCCTTTAACAAATACAGAGGTGATCGCGAATGCGATTAAATTCAACGAAGTTCGCGATATCCAGGAGCGAATAATAAAAATTTTAATTGAATAGCGTTAATTAATTTAACGAGTTGATTCCTCATAATTTGGCATGGAAATAACTGTCTGGGATGTTGAACTTCTGACCAAAGCCGTGTTAGCTACCGACCCCGCTTGCAAAATAAAAAATATTCGGAATTAGCGGCCTCTGTAATAAGACATCTGCAATAAGAACAGCAAAAAGCATGGAGAATCTTGCATTTCTCGATGCAACTTTGCATGATCCTATGCACGATCCTGTTGAGAAAACTCACAAATTAATTACGATTCACATACACTTCTTGGATAATAATAATGATAATGATTTACAAAAAGCAATGTTGCAATTTTTATTTGTAAAATAATATCGCGTTACTTTTCTTTTTATTTTATTAAATTTGAATATTTCTCACTATCATAAATAGATTTTTACGCGCGCTTTTCTGCGATTTTTATTGATAAACACATTCCACTACCATAATGGTTTATAATTATTATTAATACATGCTAAAAAAATTTGTTGAATTTTTTCCTATTTTAATATTTTTGTAGCATTGACGCAGCTAAGCACATGTGGCCACAAGATCTAGAGGTTATTTACAACAGGACCAAAGGTCTGTCAACAGAAGGTGGATTTTTACCGTTTGCGCGACCTTATATCTATCAAGAAGTCATAGATCTTGGTGGCGAGGCCGTTAGCAAATTCGAGTACAACGGACTTGCAAATGTCATTGAGTTTCAATACGGAGTAATTTTGGGTAGTATGTTCCGTGGTCAGGACAAATTGTCGAGGCTGGGAACGTTCAATGATCCGGAAGCTTGGAGAATGTTACCTTCCGATGACGCGTTAGTTATGGTTGACAATCATGATAATCAGAGAGGCCATGGTGCCGGCGGATCCACTATTCTAACGCATAAAGACCCAAAACCGTACAAGGTAGAGTTCGATGCTACGAGATATCTATAAGTACGAACGAGATACTTTAATATAATAATACAAATTCTTTATTAATCGCAGATAGCAATAGCCTTTATGCTTGCCTATCCCTATGGTCATCCTCGAGTCATGAGCTCCTTCGCCTTTAATGATCCCAGTCAAGGACCACCGGCCGATTCGGATGGCAGTATCATTTCGCCTGAAATTTCCAATGGCCAATGCATCAACGGTTGGGTCTGCGAACACAGATGGCCGCAGATCTACCACATGGTCCAATTCCGCAATCTGGTCAACGATGAGCCAGTGGAGAACTGGTGGAGCGATGGAAACAATCAGATCGCCTTCTCCCGCGGCTCTAAAGGTTTCACCGCTTTTAACGTCGAGGGAGATCTTCGCGAACAGTTGCAAACTGGATTGCCCGCCGGTACTTATTGCGATGTCATAACGGGAGACGTGGTCGACGGGAAATGCACGGGAAAGTCAGTGGTGGTTGAAGACGATGGTCGCGCTAATATTGAAATTTTATCAAATGAGTCGGAAGGCGTGCTCGCTCTTCATATACAGGTCAGTACGATAAGAAGCGATAAGCCGAAATATTTCAAACACACGATTATGCATTATCTAAAGCTTTGTACGATTACAGGCGAAACTGTGAGGCTCGTCGCGGTCAATAAACTTGGGAAAACAACATTTTATGACTCCCCGCACGTGACTAGCACAAAATAATGTAGACTGCACAAATGTAAATGTATTATCGAATAAAAATACATGCGAATATATTGCTTTCTTTATAGAGATAAATATCACATTGCGCACACAAATATATTGCAATTCCTGTCTATTATAAGTTTCAAGTTTAGTAGAGATACGTATCATTTGCAAAAAAAAAACAATATTTAAGATAAACATCTCTTTAGAGATAAACTGAGCCCATTTTTCAATATTATCTAAATTTATCTAAATCTTAAAAAAAAAAAATAAATCTAAATTTATGTAAGACTTTATTTAAATTTATCTAAGACTTTATCTAAATCAAAATATATGCTTGTGCAAATATCGCGCGAAATATCAAATAATACTATACACGTCATAATTGAGATTAGCTTTGAATAGCCAGAAAAATATCCAGAGATGGTTTGTTAGAATTTTTCAAAGCCTGGACAAATTAAGATTTTAGGTGGACTTTTATTTTATTATTTTATTATTTTGAATAGCTTAATATGTGACAGCTTTCTTTTAGATAACTTTTTTGCGGAACATGTTCTCTGTTTTTATAGTGTTTTTAGTACAGGAAAATCTCAAGTTAATTAAATTAAAACTTATTATTCTGCAGGTTAAGATGATTTTGTCACGCCAGAGGTGAAACTTTTGGGGCACAGTATTGCCCAATATATGCTTCAAAATTACTTGATGTAATCTTACTTTAAGTGTTACACATTCCTCCGTATTTGTCTCAATGCCTACTGCAATCGGATGTAATATGATAACTTTCTAATTTAGTACGTAATTAATTTGTTTGGTCAATAAGAAATGTACAACTAAGCATAATTTTTGCATGTGCACAGAGAAATGTGCACGGAATGTAGTTTTAACACAAAAAATGCGTAATAAACATACCTTGTAAAGATAAAATTGTCACGAATGATTGTGCAGCTATTTTCACACATTTCACAAATGTTTCCTAATCACACAATACTATAATTATATACATGAAAAATAGAACAGAGCGCAAATATGTGTTTATCAGAAGCGAGAGAAATTTATGATGGTAATTTCATTATCAAAACGTATTATACCAATTAAAGCGATATGTGAATCCCAAGAAACAAATATTGCATTTTGCAAAATATATAATGTAAAACTGCAATTAATATTCTTACTGTTATTGTACTAAATAATATAGAGAACTATATGATGTTTGCATTCATTTTCTTCTCTTTTAATCTCTCTTTCTTTTAAATTTGCAGCGCACGGTTTATTACTTTTTCTCAACAAATGATAATGTTTTATAATTATATTTTAATTATTATTATATTAATTTAATAAGAAGATAAAATGCATAAAAGTCACACTTTATTGATTTTATCGTCAGTTAGGTATATTGTAGGGGAGGTTGTCGTGATTAATTTCCCGCAAAAATCAAGTGGAGGCATTAGTTTAGAAGATATAACAAATTGAAGTTTGACAGTAAAGTTTGTGTATGCCGTAAACTCTACTGTTTTTAATATCAGTTTAACATATCTAAGAAAAAACATTAAAATTGTTGCAGCAAAATACAACCGATCCTTTTGAAAGAACAATCGCGCGAGACCACATCTCGGTATCTGTCCTTAGTCGATATAACAAAAAAGTAAATATATGAACATACATGAAATCTTAACGGATATCTTATCACACCAAAAATTCGCTAACACATAAAAAACATTATTATTTATTAAAGAGTAATAAACCATATTGCGCTATAAGTTTAAAATAAAGAGAGATCGAGAGAGAAAAAAATGAATATAAATATCAAGAAATTTAGTAATTCGCATAATAAAAAATCAAGTTATATATATATAATTTTAATTGTATATTTATTCAGAAAATACCGATTTCTCTTAAAGTTTCCGATAAAATTCCTCCAGTTAAGTTCGCACTTTTCTGCCGTACTGTCCCGAGATAACAACGGTCAGATAACGCACGTTTACGTACATATTATTACAACTGCAACCTTGACTGTTGACACTTTATCGATTAAGTAGACCATTGTAATTAATTAGACAGCTTACATAAGTAGACCATTTTAATTAATTAGACAGCTTGCGACATTTATCGATTCGTGCGATAAACATGTTTTATCAGCACGGCCAATGGCGCAATACAATATAAGCCGCAGGAGTTGCCGGTGAAAACATCACGTGCGGTAGCATAGCAAGGCAATATTGACCTTCGGACAAGCTGATCGGCACGGTTATATATCTCGGTGACTGATAGTTCGCGACATTATTGTGCATAATGTATGTGCTAGTGTTTGCGTTAACAATACTATCGGCGGTGGTTGCTCAGAAAGACCCGCATTATGTGAACGGCCACGATGGAATGGTGCATCTCTTTGAATGGAAATGGCCAGACATTGCGGCGGAGTGCGAAAATTTTCTGGGTCCTTTAGGGTTCGGTGGCGTGCAGGTGAGCGATACTAAAAAGAGAAGAGTCAGATTAGAAGTAGATAGTGACAGGTAAATTTCGGAGAGATTACAATGTGGGATGTCCACAAAAAGTTTTATAATTAATATTATTTCTTTTTTTTTTTGGAAAATCTGGGAATTAAAAAAATATATTGCATTGAACATACAAAAAAATGTTAACTTTATTAATTATTTTTATAGATTTATGCTTTTAAAATGTATTATTCTAAGAAATAAATTTTTTGCATAAGTAGAGAAAAAAGAAGAGAACAAATACGTCAACCCTCGCAATATACAATCGAATAAATAATTTTCCTATAAATTGATATAGGTCTCTCCGGTACAAGAAAACGTAATTGTAGACAACAGACCATGGTGGGAGCGCTATCAGCCTATATCTTACATCTGGCGTACGAGATCGGGTACGTCGGAGCAATTCAAAGATATGGTTCGTAGATGTAACAACGCCGGTGTGAGAATTTACGTCGACGTGGTGTTCAATCATATGACCGGCGAACACAAAGTAGCAGTGGGTACCGGCGGTTCGACAGCGAATACATTCAACTTCAGTTATCAAGCAGTACCGTACACAAAAGTTGATTTTCACGCACCATGCGAAATTAACAATTACCAGAATGCAACGAACGTGCGGGATTGCCAATTGTCCGGTCTGCTCGATCTTGATCAGTCGAAAGAATTTGTCAGGGAGAAGATCGTCGATTTTATGAACGACGCCATCGAAGCTGGAGTCGCCGGTTTTCGGTATGCAGAATTTTCTTGCAATTTATGTGATTTTATTGCGATATTTTTCAAATATTCTTCGCGATATTCTATAAAATTTCTATAAAAAAATAGATTTTTTAAAATAGTTTTATGATTTTAAAACAACAACAAAAATATACTAATAATATTTTTAGTTAAAAAAAATATTAACAAAACAAGATGTGTGTACGAATCTGTCAAATATAAAAGAGTTCCATTGATTTTTGGATTTCAGAGTAGACGCAGCTAAACATATGTGGCCAAATGATCTAAAAGTGATTTATTCTCGGCTGAAGAATCTCAATTCCGAGCACCATTTTGACGTAAATACGCGACCCTACATATTTCAAGAGGTGATCGATTACGGCGGTGAAGCAATCAGCAAGTATGAATACAATAGTTTTGGCGGGGTGACGGAATTCCGGAATGGCATGGAAATCAGCAACGCCTTGACAGGACACAATCAATTGAAATGGTTCGTCAACTGGGGAGAAGCTTGGGGGCTGTTACCATCGCAGGATGCCCTGATATTTATTGACAATCATGACACTCAACGGAGCAACTCCAACATACTCACCTACAAGTCATCGAGGTTATACAAGGTAAGTAATTTTCAGATTGTGCATAATGTATGTGCTAGTGTTTGCGTTAACAATACTATCGGCGGTGGTTGCTCAGAAAGACCCGCATTATGTGAACGGCCACGATGGAATGGTGCATCTCTTTGAATGGAAATGGCCAGACATTGCGGCGGAGTGCGAAAATTTTCTGGGTCCTTTAGGGTTCGGTGGCGTGCAGGTGAGCGATACTAAAAAGAGAAGAGTCAGATTAGAAGTAGATAGTGACAGGTAAATTTCGGAGAGATTACAATGTGGGATGTCCACAAAAAGTTTTATAATTAATATTATTTCTTTTTTTGGGAAAATCTGGGAATTAAAAAAATATATTGTATTGAACATACAAAGAAACTATAAATTCAAAAAAATGTTAAATTTATTAATTATTTTTATAGATTTATGCTTTTAAAATGTATTATTCTAAGAAATAAATTTTTTGCATAAGTAGAGAAAAAAGAAGAGAACAAATACGTCAACCCTCGCAATATACAATCGAATAAATAATTTTCCTATAAATTGATATAGGTCTCTCCGGTACAAGAAAACGTAATTGTAGACAACAGACCATGGTGGGAGCGCTATCAGCCTATATCTTACATCTGGCGTACGAGATCGGGTACGTCGGAGCAATTCAAAGATATGGTTCGTAGATGTAACAACGCCGGTGTGAGAATTTACGTCGACGTGGTGTTCAATCATATGACCGGCGAACACAAAGTAGCAGTGGGTACCGGCGGTTCGACAGCGAATACATTCAACTTCAGTTATCAAGCAGTACCGTACACAAAAGTTGATTTTCACGCACCATGCGAAATTAACAATTACCAGAATGCAACGAACGTGCGGGATTGCCAATTGTCCGGTCTGCTCGATCTTGATCAGTCGAAAGAATTTGTCAGGGAGAAGATCGTCGATTTTATGAACGACGCCATCGAAGCTGGAGTCGCCGGTTTTCGGTATGCAGAATTTTCTTGCAATTTATGTGATTTTATTGCGATATTTTTCAAATATTCTTCGCGATATTCTATAAAATTTCTATAAAAAAATAGATTTTTTAAAATAGTTTTATGATTTTAAAACAACAACAAAAATATACTAATAATATTTTTAGTTAAAAAAAATATTAACAAAACAAGATGTGTGTACGAATCTGTCAAATATAAAAGAGTTCCATTGATTTTTGGATTTCAGAGTAGACGCAGCTAAACATATGTGGCCAAATGATCTAAAAGTGATTTATTCTCGGCTGAAGAATCTCAATTCCGAGCACCATTTTGACGTAAATACGCGACCCTACATATTTCAAGAGGTGATCGATTACGGCGGTGAAGCAATCAGCAAGTATGAATACAATAGTTTTGGCGGGGTGACGGAATTCCGGAATGGCATGGAAATCAGCAACGCCTTGACAGGACACAATCAATTGAAATGGTTCGTCAACTGGGGAGAAGCTTGGGGGCTGTTACCATCGCAGGATGCCCTGATATTTATTGACAATCATGACACTCAACGGAGCAACTCCAACATACTCACCTACAAGTCATCGAGGTTATACAAGGTAAGTAATTTTCAGAGAAATCAAAAATCAAAAAAATTAAATAAGGATAAAGAAACTCAGTTATAATTTTATGCGGATACAATGGCAACCGATCGCGTATTGCAGATGGCCGTCGCCTTCATGCTGGCGCACCCTTATGGAACCCCGCGTATTATGAGCTCCTTCGATTTCAACGATTTCAACGAAGGTCCGCCCCACGACTCCGCCGGAAACACTCTGTCTCCGATTATTAATTCTGATAATACCTGTGGCAACGGCTGGATCTGCGAGCATCGGTGGCGTCAGATTTACAATATGGTGCGCTTCCGAAATGCCGTCAATAAAACCAGTATCAATAATTGGTGGGACAATGGCCAGAACCAAATCGCCTTCTGTCGCGGAAATGCCGGATTTATCGCGATCAATGGTGATGACTTTGACTTGAAGCAGACTCTCTTTACCTGCCTGCAACCTGGTACTTACTGCGACGTCATTTCTGGAAGCTTGGTGAACAGCAAGTGTACCGGTAAGATCGTGACAGTGGGTGAAGATGGCAAAGCTTACATACAAATTTTGACATGGGAGGAAGATGGTGTACTCGCTATTCATAAAGGGGTAAATATGCCTTTTGTTTGACGTTTAATTCTGTCAAACGTGATATTTCACTGCATTTGCGAGTACTTAAATGTTTGCATAATTATAATACTTAATAATTTGATCTCATATTTAAAATAAGCACATTTATCGAAATATTGCTTGTATCTATCTTATCGTACTAATATAATTTTAGAATTTGTTTTAAATAATATATTTTCGATACTAATAACATCTGCAATAAGACTTCTTGCACAATGGCAGTTATTATCACGTGTACAGGAAATAGAGTTTAATCATACATCTTAATTGCTTGTTATATAACGTATCTTTTAATAATCGATTTCTCTTTGCAGTCCAGGGTAGCATGATGAAGATCTGATTGTACGAGCAAGATAAAAATCAAAAAATATTATTAAAATATTTTGGGATTATAACTTTTTATTATTTAATTCTGTCAAATGTGATATTTCACTGCATTTGCGAGTACTTATATGTTTACATAATTATAATACTCAATAACTTGATATAATCTCACATTTAGAATAAGCACTTTTACCAAAATAGACTTCTTGCACAATGGCAGTTATTATCACGTGTACAGGAAATATAATTTATTCATACATCTAAATTGCTTGTTATATAACGTATCTTTTAATAATCGATTTCTCTTTGCAGTCCAGGGTAGTATGATGAAGATCTGATTGTACGAGCAAGATAAAAATCAAAAAATATTATTAAAATATTTTGGGATTATAACTTTTTATTATGTATATGTGTATATGTGGTACAGTATATAATTTATATA